GCCCCGGCAAGATTCGTGTCTTTTTTTGGGCGTACGGGTTATTAATAAATAAAAATATTTAATAACAAATCGCTTGCTTGTTTTAAAAATTGACCCCCCCCCCCCCCCCCCCCCCCTTGACAATTCAATACATGAGGAGGGGATGGGACATAATTGCAAGAGGGAGGAGCAGTTTACTACCTGCCAAAGGGATACATACCTGTATACAGACGTATTGATAAACGTGATTGGAGAGATTGGTAAGTACTGAGTACAGGTAAGTTACTTGTGCCCGATACGTACAAAAAGAAAATGGAATAACTACCTAACCTAAGGTAGGTAGGTACCTATACTAATTAGGTAGGTAGTGTGGTGTATGTATTACGCAAGCATAGCTATTACTTGAGATCTCAAGGCTTGGCTCCACATTTAGAAACGTTTCCTAATACAACCATTGTTTACTACCATCAAATACTACATACTACCTAACAGTACATATGTAAGTATTGAACGGCGGCTCGTGGCTTGCTGGCTAATAATAGTAGTGCTATTTAGGTACCTCATAAACGAAAACGGACGGTAATTAAGCAGTAATAAGAGATTATCCTAACCCCTATTACCTATTAAAAGAAGAAGAAAAAGGAGAAGAAGAAAAGAGAAGAGAAATGATTAAATAAGTTTTATGAAATCTTATAACATTTTATAGATATTAGAAAATATTTTCGAAACGCGTAGAAATGACACCTATTTGGAAGTACTTCGGATCGTGTCCTTAGGTAACCTGCCTTGCCCCTTTTTCGTACCCTAATGCTAAGAGGCGTCGTCCTAGCAAAGGCGCATATTGTAGGCAAACTGAAAGGCGGAATGAGTGGCTAGCTGTTGCCCTGCATCTTAACTCCCCACGCGAATTATTTCAATCATGTTATGGTCCGCAGACAATGTGTAGATATCGCGAGACTAAGCTAAACCAACAAATTCAACCTTAAGCTAAGTAAACCATTACCTGGGTAGGTAGTCACCAATCGTAATTGAATATGTGGAACAAGAAGCTTCTATTATGTAGCTTTACATCATTATAAAATGGGCAACATAAAACCCTCTACCCTCCCTCTATTTCCTAAATCCTATTCCTTCCTTCCTTCTTTCCTCATTCCTCTTACCCTTTTCTTATTTCTCATCCTGTTTCTTATTCAGTTGTTTCGATTTGTATTACCAGAGAAATAAGCAACCCGGCTATTAAACGGGCCGGCGGAAATGAGCAAGGTGGCCTGAAAAGTTTTACTTATCGCCCCATTCTTACACTGTTGGACATATAAATACAGGAACTACCCAAGGGAACCAAGGGGCTACTCCCGTTGCTTCGCTTCGTCTTCACGGAAACTGACTACGACTCAGTGTGAAACTGGTATCAATGATATATCGTCAACCCCAGGAGAATCCAACAATGACACGCGCTTCACGAACACAATCAGGGTGGCCTACAGAGAGGGAGCACGGACCCAAAATTTTATCCATATCCGCATCAAGGGTCACGTCGAACCAACTGAAGCAATACCTTGACGAGAAATATCCCGGCCAATACTCAGTACAGGTACGCTAGCAGGCGCCTCAAAGTTTCCATATGGTCTATTGAGGAGAAAGTATAATAACAAGGGAGAAGTTAAAACGGGATCAGTTCACCATCACCTTGACAAGGAATGGAAAAGAACAACAGCTGTGAGCGTATGATGAAGTTACCCCTCTTACAGTACTTACATTGGGCATTTTCCCCAGCTAATCAAAGAATAGTTACCACGGCGATGAGAATGGATACCCGGGGCCAAGGTTGGGGTCATAATAACGACAGGATATCATGCTGGACTTTGGCGTCAGTTGTACGTTAGTATACGTGGCAGTCTTTTGTTATAGGTCGATGCCATCGAACTTTGGGGCACGGGACATACTTGGGCTACCCAACTTGTTCGGGCTTTCCGGATAACTAGTCGGAGAATTCAAGTTCATGGAGGTGGCACTGATTTAAATTGATGGGATCGCATAATAGGTATTGTACGATAGGTAATATCAGAATGAAGTTAAAGGTGCTACTATGTACCTAGGTAGGTATATCTCTGTACGAGCATAAGGAGAACTATACTGGTATTTATGAACCACTAAGTTGAACGGCGAGAAGAAGAAAAACAACAACCGATGGCATCAACCTATTGGTTGACTATTTCCAAGGTGCTTAATACATTAGGTAGTTGCTTAATATTATGAAGAGCGAACATAATTTCATCAATACCTAAACTTCTAAGAAAACCGTCAAGTTACACATAAAACATAATAAGCTACGTACCTACATTAGGTACCCATACACCTCAAGTAAGACCAGCCCCACTGGCTAACGGATACCGGCTTTTGCGCTTAGCGTAGGTAGATCTTCAGCTTCGGATTTGAGGCTAAGTTAGCTTAGATACTAAGCTTAGATACTACCTAATAAGGCACCTAACCTACAACAATTTCTACGAATAAACAACACCTGGTCGACTAGGTGCGATTTCGTGCCTGAGGACGACATCATCACTTTACCGAAATAAACCCGATTTCGACCCAAGCGACGAAAAATCATGTCCTCCCAACAGCAGAGCCAACCGAAAATCACCTCCAAGAACCTCGCCTACTCGAGCGACCTGCCCCCCTTCCTAGCCAAGCTCCGCGGCCAACAGCAGCAGCAGCAGCGCGATCCCGACTCCCCGGACCCTATCCTAGCCGCGCGACGACGGGCAGCCCGGCCGCGGTCCGCCAGCGAGGAGGCCGAGGACGCGCCGCTCGTCGTCGACGAAGCGGGCAACACCGTCGCTTTCCCGTCCGGCGCCGACGTAGATGCTCCTGCGGAGAGGGGAGACGATAACGTAGACGGGAAGAACGATGCGGGCGCGGGCGCGGATACGGGTGCAAAGAATGGTAAAGAAGAGAGGGAAAAGGAGAAAGTAGCTGGGATTGGTGCGGGTAGGAAACGCAAGGTAGGACGGGTGGTTGGCGGTGACACCGAGGGAGACAGCCCGTCGGTGAAGAGTGGTGGTGATAAATCTGCCACCGACAGCAAATGGGGAACGAGGCAGACCAAGAAGAAAGCCAAGAAGATCAAGCTCAGCTTCAATGACGACGGAGACTGAAAAGCAGGCGAAAAGTCTGGATGTGCCAGATTATTGGTATATCATTAGGTACCCACCACAGCCCCCGGGTTTGAATATTTGCCGAAGAGCATGGACGCGCCGGCAGACCAGCCTCTTTCGTTGCATAGCCCGTTTCAAGCTCTTTAGCCACCGCCCCCGACGAGACGTGGCCGAATAGCCGTCATTAATAGTGAGACAAGGTCTCACAGCCAACAAGTGGCAAGGGGTATTGCGTACTTCGGGGCGATGGTTAGTTTTAGAGAGGGGGAGGGGGTTTGAACAACCCCTCGTTTATTAGGAAGGCGAATAGATCGATACAAGATCTAGCTCTAGACAGAGCCGATGCTTTACGACGACACCTCAAAATCATCATTACATGGTCTTGGCTGTTTGTGATCCTTCGGGATCAATTAGGACTTAATGTTAACCGTCCAATAATAATAGCTATTACTAGCGGAGGCATCACTGTATATATCATAATAGTCTGATACCAGGTAGGTACCTGGTATATATCGAAAATGAAGCGCTGATGGGCAATCAATATTTACACAAGTCTAGAACGGTGTCAAAATACCACGAGAACGCTCGTATGTTCGTGGTAGTCAAAATATGTATGGTATATACAAGATAATATATATTACTTGGCTTCCGTCGCAGCCCGTTCTAATACCAGGCTCATTTTACACATGCATTTTTCCATCCAGCAATCGCTGTCAGTACCGATACCCCGATACTAAATATGTCCATTTATTGCTCTAATGGAACCCGCATGAGTTCGCCAGCCAAACCGAGACGCCTCGCAAATGCAACGTGCTTCCGAACGAGTTAATGTCTCCGTTCTCGCACTCATGTCTGGAATATTCCTCCTCGTTGTGAAGATTCCGCAATACTGGACGACTAATAGCGGGACATTCGGTTCCTCGAAGGAGAGGAAGAATGATCGTAAGGGCTGGGTTGGCCGTAAGGGTCATCCATGTACACGGTAGTGCGGCGTTCCTCGTCGGGTAGAAGCTCTTTAACTTCCCAGTTATTCATCCGCGTACCCACAGAAAACTCGAGGTCTTCCTTCGTGATAGAATCCCAATACTATGGAGAATCGCTGTTAGAAACTGAATGGCAATATTGATATGAGGAGGACCTACCTTATAAACCATCATGACAGCAAGCAGATTGCATGTCGTTGCAAAAAACAGGCCGTCAATGTAATGACTAGTAGCTTGGCAAATCGTGGAGCTAAGCGCATATAGTATGACCTGGCCCACAATGAAGAAGAAGAGACCGAATGTGATATCTCCTAGCGGCCAGCGGTCTTCTAAAGTTCGGACTACCAGCAAAATCTGCAGGGCCACGTAGATGACGAGTTGTACGCCGTTTAGGAGGTATAGCACCGTGAACAGGCCTACTGTGTTTGACGGCCCCATACCAGCCCACGACTTGAAAGTACCGAGCGATACCAGGAACGAGACAGCAAAGGCCGCGACGGAGGAAAGCCGGAGCATCCATACGGACAATGGGGTACCGTCTTCGTAGAGTTGAAATCCGACGAACCCGTTAATTAATAGACAAGTGATCAACGCGGACGCGAGGCCGGATTGTACCGCGACGAAGTACGGGTAAGGCTCAGAGCCCGGAGGAACGACACCAGCGTCGACGAGGAGGGAGATGAACGACAGCAGCATATAGAAATAGAAGAAGGCTAGAATTTCCTTGCGACCTGCGAACAGAAACCGTGCGTTAGGCTATGTGAAGGTGAATCACCATCGGAATACTTGATGCGAAAACTACTTACCGACAGCTGTGAATTTCCCCCGGATATGTAAGATCATCACTATCGTCATGACCAAAGCGATAATGTGTATGAAGCTGGAAGCGCCCTGGAATATGATGGTATTGGCCAACTCGATATTTCGCGCGAAGCAGTCGGTTTCGACGCCGACGCCGCCCGATATGGAAGTGACAGGACCAACAGATGCGCACAACGGTAAGGGTGCCGTGTGGCATATGCCAGTGAAGTCCCCGTAACCACCCATCTTGCTAGTTGTTGCCGACGACGAGCAACTTGCTCAAGATCAATTCGGGGCAAGTATACCGTATACCAGAGATGGAAAAGTATAGGAGATAGCGAATGGATGCGGACCAGATGCAAGATGCGAGATGCGAGATATGCACGATGCCCGCGGGCGATTGGACGGGATGCGCCGAGCCGATGATGTGATGGAGCCCAGACGACGACGAGGGCTCAAAGAGAAGAACGAAAGTAAAGCGAGAGGGGATGACACAGTAGAATTAGTATTATTTAACAGTAGTAGTATGTAAATTAGAACGAATGACTATTAAGGTATCTTCAGCTTGTACGGTACGGTACTATGACATGGTCAAGGCTGAACGACCTTGTCCTTGCGTTTGGCTTCGTTGCTCGGCCAAACGTCTGGTCTGGGCTGGGCTGGGCTGGAGAGAGGTGGGAGAGTCTGGAGAAGTGGTTGGAAGTTGGCTTGCCATGGGGAAAAAAAAAAAAAAAGGGTGAGACAGACGGTTCAATGGGCGCTATGCTAGGTTCGAAGCTACTATGTACTTGCTACTTTACTAACCTAGATTTGGCAAAAGAGTGAGAAAAGGTGGACCGTGCTCGTTTTTTTTGCGGTGGCAGGGGCGGGGGTTTGGAGGTTGGAGGCTAGAGCAGAGGCTTAAAGAGGTTGGGTAGGCCAGGTAGGGTCCCACCGATCAGATCACTTTAGGTACCTCCTACCTTAGCTTAGCTTAGGTAGGTACCTAGGTACCAGGTAGTCAATTGGATTATGCCCGGTGCTTGGCATACGATCATGTATCAAGGTACCTCATACTATTACCATAGTACTAAAACCTTCATGTACCAACTTCATTCATAGCCTAGCCTCTTCTTATATAAAAGACGCGAATGTCGAACTGATATATCCCTTTCTTGGTCCCCAAAATTGACATCAACTACAGCTATGGTCTCAGACAATCAACATCATTCTCATCGAAGCTGTATTTGGTTGACATATAACTACACTCCGGTGGAATTGGCCTACTAATAAACACCTACCAATAAACTAAAGGTTTCTCTCAGGGCGTGGCAAAGACTGCTTCAAACTTCAACATATTATTGGCCGGCTGAATATCTGCAGACTTGCCGGGCATGATTAAGCAACGCCGGAATGATGGCAACTCTACAAATGAAGCTGATGTAGTACATCAGAATAGATACATCAGAATACACTTCAATTAGATGTTTTAGATAAGTCCATCTACCAGTCGATACTCATATGTATTTAGTCAGTCTCATAAGAAGATGCCACTAACCCCGCACCCTTTATGTTGCTCTTCCGTCATCCGTTGTTCATTTATAATCAACAACCAATTGCTTTTCAGGATAAACCCGGACACTGTCGATAGCCCCAATAGGAGTCCTTGACCTCCAACTGCTGATATATCAGGGAGGGGTCAACTCCCAGCTCACATGGCCGATGCACTTGATTATATATGGGCAGAGGTCCAGGCAGTCTCTGCAGTGAGTACAGGGTTATTACTTCCAACCTACATTACTTTTTCACTTTGATACCAAAGTCATAGAAGCGTCACATCAACGCGCGAACTAGAGCAACATTTCGAAAGCCAAGTCCAATATGTCAAAGGCGTACCTCGTGGCCAAGGAGAAGTACCAGGCAGTGATTGACGACGCTGGAAGGGGTGATTTCGTCTGTTAGTATCACTAGAATGCCATAGCTAGGAACTACCTGCCTTGGGTAGCTACTCAGGATGGCATGCTGACCCTGTTGGCCAGGTCGGACAAACCGCATTGGCACTACTCGGCACCCCTCCAACGGTGACTGCCAGGCCGTCAACAAGATTGATCATAATCAGCAGCGTCGGCGAAGTAGCACAAGTATGAGGGACAAGATTAGAGATATGATGAATAGGCCCGCATATTGAACCAGCTAGTAAACCAGCTAGTATCAGTTAAGGATATCATAAGTTGGCTACATCTATCCAACCGAATTGAATACATACTATTTTACCAATCGGTACATCTCTCCTTATTGGACCTCAGTCTACTTAAGAACTATATAGGTTAGGTACCTAAGGTAGACAGGAGGTACCTATATATTCACAACCTTAGTGACAGTTGATACACGTTTTCATTACCCCCGTAGAGATATGTTCATGTTGAACGTCACCGCTGTATATCATATAAATTGTAGTCAGCGAACGGGCAGGTGGACAGCAAACGGAATAACCTGTAAGGTAGGTACCTAACCTATTGAATTAACTTCTTTGTATTACTTTATTATAAGTTAACTAAGTATAACTAATATTATATTAGGTTATGCGAATTAAGATCTCCTTTTTGATTAACCATTATCCGCCGACTTTGGACCCTTCGGCGTCCCACGTAATCTTGATGGGCTCGTGGTTCCCCGAGAACTTCTGCCCGGCAAACCACAACTCGAATCTCAACTCCGCGGGGGCTACGATGACCCGAACTTCGTAACTGCATACATAAAACTTCTTGCTGTGAAACAAGAACCTCCTCGACTTACGCCTCATTATCATGTCGCTGTTGTTTATTCCCGTGATGTCGCTCTTTACTACGCAGAGCTGTTTGAACCCTTCTATCAAGCAGGATAAGTATGGGCTGTTAGTTTTTGTGCCACCTCGAGGGACTCACCTTGATTTATGCTGTGAGGCAAGAAGAAAGGGTCCAAATCTGAGATCACGACAATTGAATCCCAGCTGCGATCCGAATCTTTTGGGTCCACTTTCTTCGTGTAAGTCGTACTAATAGGGGTATTCGTACTTATGGAATCTCCCTAGGTAAGCAGGTCAGCAATTGGGTATACGCTGGAGGAGACGCACGTTCAGGATTCATAAAAGCACCTTTCTAATAATCCAGTCGATTTGGCCCATGGCGTATTTCTCTCCGTCGTAAGAGTCCGTCTTTATCTCTTCATCGATGTGTATCTCCGGGTTGTACTTGGTCTTGCATACAAGACCATAACTCGCCCGAGCTACTCTACTTACAATGACCGGTGCCAGTCCCGACTCTAGATTCTGCAATCTGTCTAACAATAGTCCCTTCACGACGACCAGTTGCGGATCAGGAGCTTGTAGCACTTTAACTTGATGGGCATGTGGATAGAGACTAATCATCATTTCGTGCTGAATGCGATCACGGATGTACTTGGAGCTTCCGAGTCCGCCAGATAGGATCATATAGGTCTAACCAGTTTTTATGTATTAGTTCCTTAGTACTTGGACGAGCTCTTATGCAGGTAGACTTACTATTGGCCGGTCGATCCCATTAGTTAACATCCAGTCTAGCTGCTCGTGTATCTTCTTGATAATACCTTCGACATGCGGATCGAAGAGGGCCTGCATCTGTTCCCTATTTTGAGGCGTGTCAGATTTAAACTCCAATATGGCGTCTGGTATGTATTAATGTACCACGAAACTATTATCCTACCGAGCTCTATCTGCGCACCAGTGTGAGTAAGATTATAAGGAACACCTTCTAAGGGGAGCTTATAACAGGTGGATTGGTAAACTCGCTCCCCGAACTTGTGCTTCGTTGTTCGATACCTCTCGCTCTTGACGAGCCTTTCAGCACAGTCAGGAGGAAGTTTGTCTACTAACTCGGGAAACTTGTTGAGACGATTATTTATCATCGTTACGAAAGCCTGGTCGATTAACGTCGAGCCAATCCCAATACCGTCTACTTGGTTTAGCTGAGATAGTAATGGAAACGGCTGCCGCGCCTCGACAACTTGCATTAGTGCAAGATCCGTCGTCCCGCCTCCTGCGTCGACAGATAAGAAGATATCGCCTGTTTCGAAAGCCACAGCTGAGTTCTTGATGGTCCCGACAGCTGCCGCCTCAGACTCTGTCAGCTCGACCGTAGCTCTGTGGTACCGTCCCTCGACACCGAACCCTGCATCATGAATACAATTTTTGAAAGAGTTGATGATCTCCTGGCTCCTCCACGTCGTTGGGACGCTGAAGATGAATTCGACTACTAACTCCTGCCATCCCACGTGGCCTATACCAGTATACAATTCCACTGTTGATTTGACGTGCGAGTAAACTTCGCGCAGGTAGCTAGAGATCAACCTCTGTGCATCCTGGACGGAGGTGGGCGCCTGGCTGATATTTTGGCGGCGCGCATCTTCCAACGTGCGCTGATCGAGAAAAATTTTGAAGAACTCCCGCTTCTTCTTCTTCTTATCGATCAAGTCGTCATCTTCGCACAGGTAGCCCCAGGAGGACAAGCTGTCGTCCTGATTATAGACAAGACAAGTGTGGACTTTTTGTTCGTTTTTGGTCGAAGCGCCAGGCCAGTTATGTATTATCTGAATAGGACTTTGCAGGGCATGATTCCGCTGCGGCCGCGCCCATGCGACACCTTTAGCGCGTAATGAGCTTCCTATTATATCGAAAAGTGAACGGTGAAGACATGGTACTTACCTGTGTAAGTTGTGCCAACGTCAATGGCCACAAGTATATCAGGTCGCTCACTGGCCATGGTGGGTTAATTAATATGCGCGTTTACGTACGTGGCTTGAGAATTGTAGGATAAGCATAAACATCTCTGGCAACTTTTGTTCGTTAACTTTTGGTTTAGCAACAATAGTAGGGTAAATTTCTATCTACTAACTAGGATGACTTCCTACCTTTAGGTACCTATATAATATTCTCCTAGCAAAATAAGTGGACGTTAGAGGTACGTAGAAATCTCCAAAAAAAAAGTCATGATATTAAGGGATACGTACAGGATTCCGTAGATCGAACCCTTTGTTCTTTTAAGATGGTTCAGCTGTATTTCTGCAGGGCTGCGTTCGCGTTCGTATTCCGGTTGGGTTAATAGACGCTGCGCATGGATCACATTTGTCTCTGTCTGATCCGTACGTACGCTGAGAATGAATACCTAGACCTTGGGGTCTTCCGGGGCCGGGATATGTGGAGATAGGACTTTGTTGGAACTTATTAGCTCCTGGCTGTGTGTGCTCAAGGGCACTCGGCAAATTTTTTATTCTCGTTCAATCAACTGATATACTTGCTTTGTGACGGAATAGCACGGTATGGTATGCTGTTAACTACGGACAAATGCAAACATTGATATCGTTGCTTTGAGTCGTCCAAAGTGTAACTCGTAGAACGTATCCAATCCGGCAGTGATGTGTATCGTTCTAAGTGGTCGAATCAAGTATAGCTTCAAGTCCCAATTCGCTGGAACATGCAATCAGCAAGCGTGCGGTGGCTGATCCCTGTCCATCCCCATTTGCGCCCTGTCCCAATACGCGTCTGTCTGACCGGTCATTCGATGCTGAAGGAATATGCCCATGTGCCTTTAGAAACGGCTATTTCCCTTTCATACCCAAAAAAGATCACTGCGCAAACGGTCTCATAAGTTTGGGCTCTTGTTTTTTTTTTTTTGCCAATAATGAGAAAGGAATTATCGTCCAGGTTTTTATTTTGCTTGCCTTTGTCTTGTATCGTAAGTGGAGGCTCATCACTACCCGGGATAGTACTGCTTTTGAATGTTGTCCCCGTACCGCGATCCCACTCCTCGCTCGTGCCGTACTGTAACTGTGGCTGTGTCTTAACTGGCCTGCAAGACACTTCCTGTGCTATTTTGAGTATATCCACATACCGTACAATAACGATGTTCTTTATTCACCTCCTAGAGTAAATCATGTCTTCTATGGTCACGAATCTAGAGGAAATCGGAAACCATCTAGTTAGATTTTAGCTCTCAGCGCAATGGCGGAGATAATGATATCACACACTACGGTTTTTACCGTGTATACCTTAGGAACCTCTTATGAAGCAGTCGACGTATTTACCAAGCCGCCAGGGTCGACACAGTTTCGGTTTGTAACCGAATTTTGGAATTCCTTTACCAGTAGTTCTACTACTTCCTCTTCAACTGAGTCTTCTACGTCCACAACCCGGAGTTCGAATACGCCTTCGAGCACGTCCTCGAGTACGTCTTCGAGTCGAGCATCGCCATCACCCATACAGACTACGCAGTCAGTCGATTTAGATAATAAGGCTGGCCTTTCCACCGGAGCTGTAGCTGGAATTGCCATCGCGTGCGCTCTCGCGGGGTTGATACTGGGCGTTCTAGCCGGGGCCCTCTTCTTTCGGCGGCGAAAGCGGCAAAGGTCTGGTAATAGGTCGCGGGGAGACGAATATGACTGTCAGGAGAAGCCTTTGCGGAGTCTTATATCGTCAACAGATAGACTGCAGCTGGACCAATTCCTCTTAGATCCAACGCCAGATGCTGAAATATGGACGGAGCTTCGTTCGTTGAGCGAGTTGCTTCAGCAACATGTTGAAAATAATTATCATAATCTATCGGTCTCTCCTAATATAGAAATGCTGTCTGCGGAGCTGGCCCGTCTGGGAATAGGACAGAGCGGTACTTTATCAGCAGGGAAACTTGTTTCTTTGGCAGTGAGCCCGAGAACTCGATATAGCGCTATTCAGCACATTATTGCCAGTGTCACCTTCGCCAGCGTCACTCTGGACAGGACTTCGCCTTTATCTCTACTCCCAGAGCCGTTGTCGGCGTTCACCTCCTCAATACCAGCTACTGAGAGTTTTAGGGGAAACCCAGAAGGTGAGCCAGGCGGTGCAATCAATATCGATGATAATGCGGATACTAATGCATGTATAATTCTAACAGCGGTCGATGTCGCATTCACTCGATGGCGGCAGTTATCTGTCTTCCTACTTAACCCGAGTAGGAGTGAAAGGACACCGTTAGTCCCATCTGAAGATGTTAGCACTCGCCAAGCGCAACGGCTTGCCGAGACCCTAAATGCCTTCCTCGAGCCTTTCGTGGCAGGTGATCGCGATGATAGGTACGAACAAGAGAATCACCTACGGGAGGTGATTGTAGAATGCGCAACTTTTGGCTATTTATTATTATCACAGCCATCAGAGTATCAATTCCGCTTCGATGATGGTGGAAACTCGAATCAGATAACTGTTTTCCCTGGGGTAGACAGGATCAGTGACGAAGATGGCCATAGAAATCCTTCACTAGCTCAAACAATTGCCAGGCCTAGAATCGAAAGCGTATAAGTTAAGCGAGAGGTTACGTACTGTCCAAGGCATACAGTACTAATGAAACTGGCCTCACCTGGGTTACCTATTATTTTCTCAGCTATGCAGAGTCTATTAATTAGGTTCCGCCACGTGTATATAGAAAAAGAAGGGCTGAAAAAAGCTGTGCCGTAAATTTTGAAACCACGAGCTTTATGCGGACCTAGGGAGTAATATAATATGATTCCAAGCATATGTTCGACTTCTTCTTTCTCGAGCCGCAACGAAACGGCCCCCAAATGGGGACTTTGTTTATGACTAGGGTAAGTGCCTACACGCCTGGGTACCTAGTTGTTCGCGCGAAATGGTTCGTAAACAATCTTAGCTGGCCAATATTCATGCCACAATATCTTGGCCTAGACTCGCTATTTCTCGTCCGAGCCGCACGGGCCAATTATATTTTGTGCTTCGCCGACCTGAGTTGTAAGTCGCCAATCTCTCACGTAAGACGCCATTGAGACAGCAAGCGGTGACCGCCCAGCCGGCTTTAGACTCTTGGTTTTATTGCACAATGGCGGTATCAGGTAGGTATTATTATTATTAATTGCCTCGGTGTTAGATCCGTACACAACGGAAATATCGGATAACGTTAATACAGATCCGATTAGCTACCTATTATGTTTAGCCACGCTTTCGATTAGGACCCTGGGTGGTATTGCGCTGACATGCTTCACGCTAAGGTGTAGGTCCCACCGTCGTCAACTTGACTACGTACCTCACATCTTAACTACCTCCTATTAGGTGCATTCATATAAATAAATAAATAAAATTCGTAGCCCTTCACGAAACTGTAAGGCAGGTAGCAGGACGTGTGATTTTATATGCAACCATGTTGGAAGGGATGCGATGCCTCAAAGGGCGCCGATCTGATAAGCCTTCAGCAACGACGGGGAAAATCTCCAAAAAGCCATTGAACAAAACATGCCTTTTCAAGTATTGGCCAGGAAACAGGAAGAAAGGGGCACCGGGTAGGTATTATAAGCATATCAATACAAGGCAGTTATTTCGTGGTGCTAACTAACGTAGGTCAATCTTTTACGCGGTCTGAGCAGCCCCCAAATCTCAATGTTGCGGTTTTAGACCAAGCTACAATATTGGGTGATCATGATATGGATCGTGATATGGACCATGATGTAGACAAGGAGACATTCATCCAGTCTTTCGAGAATACTCGCAACAGTCCGGTCGAGCAATGGCTCGTTACTTCAGCAATTCCTTCGTCCTACCAAGAATTTCAGCTGCGAGAGACGACGGTCCAAGGAAGCGTACCATCAAAGTTTCCAGACGACTTTTCTAGCAGAAGTCATAGTTCTCTCAAAACGCGACCATCAACGCTGCTCGGAGAAACACGTCCCCGATTTCAAGATCACACTGAGCTGGCAACAGAGCATAGCACTGGGTTAAGTGCTCTATTTCAGCAACCCGCTCGTCTCGGATCCGATACGAGATCATATCCGAACCGCTTAAAGAACTACCCCAGTAGTTCTAGCTCGACTAACCCTCCTTCCCTGACCTTCCTGTCCCTGACGCCAAGCACAAGCTGTAGCTCTCTGAAACCCGAAGTCACTATTCGTCAATCCAAGTCGGCCGCTGAATCAACGAACAGCCTTCGCGCGAAGGCAGACGAAGATGCTGAACTGGCGAACTCGTTGAGTCATAGAATCGCGCTGGCTCAGGTTTTCATGTACCAGGCCCGAATGTCTGATCGGCCGCTAAACACCCCTTTCGCCATATCCGGGGGACATATGTTATCCTGATATTAAGAGTCCTAATTTCGACGTCCGTGGACTACGGATATCGAAACGACCTAAACTAAGCTAGGCGGATAGCAAAGTCGTTTCCCCCGATCATGTTCGACTCACCAGAGCTGCTCCAGAGCAGCCCCTCAATTGCTACGTCATGTACCAACACCAAAATAGATACCCAACAAAGACGTGGATGAGGTTCTAGAACTGTTAAGGGGTCGAAAAAAAAAGCAAGCGAGCCGCAGTTAGAAGACGGAAGAAGAGAGTCTGCCTAAATCCACCAGATTGCTAGCATCAGTCTGAGATGTCATAAACTGTTCATAGCCGAGTGGTGAAAAGGTAGCTAGAAGTTATGAGGCATCAGCTTGGGCACCACGCATAAGCTACCTGCTATTTTACCTATCATATTCCGATACGGCATCGGGGTTGTAGTTGGCGCCCAATAGGTACCGGTCCAATTAGGCGTACTGCTGTAGCATACATCTAACAACAACGACAGCAACAGCAAATACAACAAAGGCAACAACGGCAAATGCAAATAACGCAACTAAATGATATATACCTACCTCTTATTCTACGCTCGATGAAGAAGGCCATGGTAGTAAGTAATAATAACTATGATTATATAGGAGGTAGTTATCACACAATATATTTCGAGCCCATAGGTGTGAGGTACCTAAGGCAAGTTGTGAGAAAAGTTGATTCGTCATAAACCTTCTACCTCGTCCCAAGATTTCTATGTACTAACAGGTAGTCTTAGGTAGTGATGATTGGTCCAAGCAGCATTGAGGAGTCTTTTAAGTGGCTTGATAAGTGGGCTTATTAGTGGGTAATCCAGTAAGGAACCCTGAAGATGTTCCACCTACTTTTCTTTTCTTTTTTTTCTTTTTTCTTTTTCCTTTCTAAGGCTGACAGCTAATACCTAGCTGTGTGGATCGATTTCTGCGATGTGCCTTAGGTGCCCCTAGGTATAGTATAGGTAGTAGTTACTTAAGTCACGTCACATACTTCATAAAAGACCATTGTACGTGCGAACTTGAACTCAGGTCTATTATCCTCGAATAACTACCTAGCCTGCCTCTACCTGTTATAATGCTAGACTAGACTTTTACGTCTTACTAAATCCATGATGGCCTCTCGAGATCCAACCTGCCAAGTTAGTCAAAAGAAAATTACCTATTACCAACCCCTGAGTGGATAGGAGCTGATATCATAATAGGCAGTAAACTTATCTGATGGCTATCCGTGTAATGCTATCGCTACAACTTGGGAGAATCTATTTTGTAGATTTCACGGAAAACAATGCCATGGCCTCTATATCGGCTACAAGAGACGAAATGCTAGATTGGATGCTCTGACAGAAAATGCCCCCCTTTACCTAAAATCAGCTAAGGTTCCGTTAGCCAACGAGACATTCGAGGGTGTCAGCGATGAGACTGTTCTACGGGAGGTACATGCTCACCTTTACCAAGAGTATGTGCTTCTTGGAAAGGTTATCGACGCACGGAAGCTTCATCATAAGCACTTCTACCCGCTCCAGATGGACTATGGCCACCAGGCTTATCTGGACATTCTTTCTAATAGACGTCATATCGTTTTGCGCGCGCTTGAAAGGCTTGAGACCCGCACTGTTCAGGTTCTCTACGAGAAAGAGAAATGGTATAAATGGGTTCGCGAAGTTCAGCAGGAAGAAGAGGCAACTCGTGAGAAAGAATCCAAGAAAGTCAAGCTTGAGGCAGCCATGTTCAAGCGTCACTGGAAGAAGATGCAGAGTCGCCTACGGACCCAGCGCGAGAAGGAGGAAAAGCAACGCCAAGATGCCTATCTCGAAACCGTTTACAAGGAACGCATGTCTATATCAGATGATAGCGAAGACGATGTGGAGATGTGGGATCCCATCGAAGATGTTGTCGATGACGAACGCAGTCGATATGTCGACCTCATAAAACATTTCCTGTGGATAAAGGTTCTGGCCGACATTGACGAAAGCGAGAATCCCGTCCCGAAGGTTTCCGATTCCTCTGATCCAGCTAATCCAGTCATTGATATGGAGAAGCTTACAGTATCTGAGGAGAAACAGCCCAAAAAATCAAAGAAGAAGGCAAAGTCGAAAACTGTCAAACCTGCAGCTATGACAAGCAAAGCTAAACCTCAAGGAGCCGTTGTCGCCACATCCCGAGACCGGTTGACAGGCCAAAGCCAAATCATGAAAATGATGGACGACGATTTAGAGCCTCTAGATGAATTCCCGGAGCCGGATAAGAGCAATATAGAGACAGAATCCGAAATGAGAAAACGTCTCAAGGAAGGCGTAGAAAAGAACTATGATGATATCGAGGGTCCGATTTTGGTTGGAACCTTGGAAAATCCCCATGGCACCCACCTTAAGACGGCTCCCTTAGCAGACGAAGAGATTGATTCTCTAATGAGAGACATAAAGGAAATCAAACTCTTATTGTTCTGCCGTCTCCTCTTATCGCATGCCTCATTGCTTCTTGCGGCTGTGCGGTCCTCAAGCGTGGAGGCATTCCTTAGCGACCCTGAGATTGCTGTATCCGACCTGCGGGATCTCTGCCTGAAAGTGGAACAGCCTAGTCTCTAGGATATTCGGGATGCTTGTGCGGATCTGATTAGGGGAGATGAGCCCGAGGTGGAGGAGGACGATGACGACATCCCCGAGGAAGAGTCATTTGAAGATGTTATCCTCCAAGAACGTCGATATGGCCATCTTCAAAGCCCTGCCTGGTTTCTGACCAATATGCTCGCCCAACGTCAAAAGTTCGTCGGCAAAGACGGGCAGCCCGCAAACTTTAAGAAGATGTTTGGCAAGAAATCTCGTAAACAGGGCAAGATGAAAGTCCACATCTGTGGTAAGAGTATCTGGAACTATTCAAGCGAAAACTCCATGTCTCGGAATGGCTGGCTCCAATTCTCTGTCATGGCAAAAGACTGTGACCTAAGGCATGCTGTCCAGCTTTGTAGAAACTGGGATGAAGTCTCCCAGCTTAACTTCCTTACCGTTTGGCAATACTTCCCCGCGTCGAACTGGGTTTCTTGGGGAAGTGATAGGCTGACGCAACAGATGCATGAGCTTGTAAGTGCCTTCTATTTTTTTCCTCTTACTATTTCATATATAATATTCTAACAGTAAGGCAGGGGTTCTTCCCCTATTTTAAGGACTTCGACGCCCAGAAGCATAGCCGATACCTTCAGATTGGTGCACGGAGCCAGCACCGACGCCAGCACAATATCGTTGAAGCTAGAAACATCATTGTCGGCCACATGAAACGCAACGACTCAGTGACTCGCCGTTTTCTCCAATACTGTACTATGCGCACCGGCGAGTTGCTTGTCCTTGTGCGAGACGGTAAAACCGGAAAGATCATCACTGCCCCCGAAGAAGAGCATCTGTGGACCATGCGCCATAAGGAGGGACTTGGTCGTGCTTCAAAGAATGAATGGGATATACTACTCGAAGTTGGCCCTGAGTACTTTGATATGGTCGACATTCTCAGAAAATGGCGCCTGGGATTCGAAGATTACTATGAAGTTTGGCTCTGGGATTTCGTTCCCTGCAACAAGCCTGTACTTCTCTACAATATAATTGTTACGGTATGGTAAAAGACGTATCTGTTATACACAAGCTATCTTAGTGCTAATGTCGTCTAGGAACTTCGAAAAGCGTGGAGGGTGACCAAACCTTTCGATGTGTATCGGCATAGAGAACCATTCCTACGAGGTCTCACGCGGGATAAAGAGACGATGCGCGTTCGTTCTATTCAGCCGGGAGAACAAGTTGAAACTTTGTGGGACGAGGTCACCGACCCCTCCAACACATTTTTGACAGCGGATATGTTGAATAAAACGGTTGTCGAAACAAGCGGACGTCGCTGAAGACATGGTCCTCTTTTCCGATGAACTAACCACGCCGAATCGCAGTGCTCCTTTTAGGGAGGTTACCAACTCGATCACCCGATTAGAGACGACACCCTCTACGATGATTAACGTCCTAGCCGAAGGAGCCAGAAAGCTCAGCAAACGGAACAAAGATTTTCCTAAACTCCCTGACGCTGACAACGACGAGGACTGGAGTACGGATCTCGAATCCGATAGTGACGATGACGGCGAGAAGAAAGTTGTAAACCACTGGAGCTTGCCGCAGATATGGGAAGACGCGATCGCAATACTTAACCATAGTCGTCTTAGTAGCGAGAAGAAGAAATTGCTCCATCAAGTTGGGTTAGCGAATTTTCGAACGTGATCCGCGGCGGGATCAATAGCATCGGCGGTGTGGAATCAAAATTGAAACAAGTAGACAAAATCATGGTTTTGGAAAAGGATCGTGGTGACGGTAAGTCGAGTATACTATTAGGTAGTTTGATGATATTGGCTGCTAATCGGTCTGATACAGCTTTCAAAGAGGCATTCCATGCCGGGGACTTAGAACCGGGCGCTCAGGAGAAGTACGCCGAGACTCGCAAGATCCTCGACAGCATCCTCGGGTCTCACCAGACCAACGAGTCAACAGCCTGGATCTGGTTTCTGGTTGACATCCTCGTCTGGCTCGGGCTCAGGACCGACTATAAGGAGTACACGCGCGATTCACGCGCAGGCTGGCCGCATCCGTTTGTTGCGCAGGATATCATCAGAGCATACGTTTCCATGGCCATGTTCTTTCCAAGCTTGGAGGTGTGCAAGCCCGTGACAGACTTTTTCAAGTCAACAAAGGGCAAAGAATATAAGGACACTTCACTTCTGAAGCTAGACGAGCGTGCTAAGGAACTCCCGGATTGCCGCTTAAGGACAAGCTTCAGATACCGACCGAAAGAGTTTTGGAATGAGTGGGAGGGAGTGCTTAAGGAAGCTGAAACGAAGAAGAAATTCTATGCGGACATATACCCGATGGAATGGAGCGTTGCAATTCGGCCTATCATAGCGAAGCGGAAGTCTCGTGGTTTCATTATATATACTTCCAGCGAATTTATACTTACACTAATCTTATTTAAAGTATATCTCGCCGGCATCATCGCCCCTGCATATCTACAGAATGACCCGCTGGTCGTTCCCGGATTCGCCGTTGCAAACACGGAGCCGCACCGCCCGGGCAAGCTAGATCTGTTCATGGACTACGCCGACCGGGAGAAGACGATCAACTTTCCCCAGCAAATCCCTGGCTTCGTTAGTCCCGATAAGTGGCCCGTATTCCTCCCTCTCGCCCGTGATTTCGCTTCCAAGCACAGCAAGCCGCGGTTCGCGGTCCTCCGCGTCTGGTCGGCGCCGCATTTCTACCCGGCAATGGTGGGCGACTGGAACCGGCAGGCCACCGCGTTTCTCGACAGCACAGCGCGGTCTTGGGTTTGGAAGTTCATCCCCAAGGACATGCCGATCAGCGAGTGGAGCATGCACAATACCCTGAAGATGCGGCTCGAGCTTCTCAAGGAAGAACTCCAGGTGGGAGAACGCGTGGTGCACCGCGGCGAGACCATCCTTGTCATGGCGCTCGACGAGGCCGAGCTGCTGAAGTACGTCACGGCGGTGGTATTTGCGATCCAGACGAAGCCGTGGCACCGCGAGATCAACCTCTGGAAGAGTTTCGTCAACGTCGATTTGGAGTTTCTGGAGAGTTTGGATCCATACTGGTTGGATTGATCGCCGCCAAACTCGGGTAAATGAGTAAATGAGTAAGCCGGATTATGTTTTGAATAATAGTACATATCAGATGATAGGCGATCGATTTCAGCTGTTTGCTACTGAGCTTACCTAGTACACAAGACACACTTCACATTGCCCGCAAGAACCGTCCTCTTTGACAGTTACATGTATGTTGGTATTTTTCCAGAAGTGCTATGCTGGTATAGTTTCGTTTTGGAAGCCCACATATGCATTATAATACTAGAAAGTTGATTTACGGCTATGTTATTACTACGATAACGCTAGATACCTGATGCATATATGCTTCATATTACGTGTTTATTCAGCTTCTTGGAACCAGCCTTGGGTTCCGCGATACGAGCTCTCGGATATGCTCTCGCCATATCTGAATAGCATCTTGAACCATAGCACCTTGGCTCGAAGATTCCGTTTCATAGGGTCCGTAAAGATACGGTTTCCCATCCGCGTAGCAAGATGTTTCTTGTTCTGTGGGCAATGTGCCGTTCAGGATATATGCTTTCATGATGGAGTCTGTGCAACTAGATTTGTCCCTGGATGAGTGTCCATAACCGTGGTGAATGATCAACCTGGCGTTCTTCCCCATTTCACTTAGTAGGTGTTTCCCGTTCCGTAAAGGAGTAGCCGGGTCGTACGTCTCCGCGATTAACAGTAAGGGGTTCTTCAGTGTGTTATTTAGATCTCCTCGATATAGCTCGGCTGGCGGAGGCCAGTAGGTATGGAAGTGCTGGCAGGGAAAGACGTCTAAGAACTCCTTATTACCTGATATCCAGGATCGGGCAGTCATGTTAGCCCAAAGGGACTGCCACCAGAGTAAGCCATCCGGTGGCAAAGGCGAATCATACGAATCTGCGCAGACAACCAAGGGAAATAGCTCGCGGGATCGAGGTCTTGGCGAAGCTGAACATGGGAGCGAAGGATCGTACTCCCACTGCGTATAGTCGAGAAAAGCAGCAGCTAGTGTTGAATTTCCCATTTCTAATTCGTATAACATCTGAGCTAGTGCAGGCCAACTGTTGGCATTGTGTAAAGCGCCGTATATAGCAGACACGATAGCCGAGTAAGTTACGAGAGAAGGCCCGCTTGATTCAAGATACCCTGCGATGGGACGCTGGCTAAGTGAAACCAACAGTTTTTCCATGCGATCTTCTAATTCCCGTAACGACACGGGCTCTGAGCCTCTAGGCCGCGATAGAGCGCAGTATTTCGGGCCGGCGTTGACACACTCGCCTAGAAACCCATCACGCCAGACATCGGTAGTATTATCTAGCGCATTCCACCCGAAACCACCAAGCTTGCGGTGATCACGAACATATTCCAGACCGTCAAGAATGACACGACCGGCACTATGCGGAAACATATTCGCCCATGTTTGTCCAATACTGGTGCCGTAGCTGATAAGATAGCCAGTTGCCTCGTCTTCGCCTAAAGCCTTGCGAATTTCTTCCATATCGCGCGCGACGAACGCCGTGCTCAGAAACCGGGGTATGTCACCATACTTCTCCTTGCAGGCAAAAAAAGTAGCATTGTTTAGAGCATCAGCAAGTTCGAGTTTGACTTCAGGCGACCCGGTAGCTTCACGGTACTGCCCCGTAAGCAGAGACCAGCGGTCTCTATAGACGTCATGGGGGAAACATGCTTGGGAAGGCAATGATGCGTTGACGCCGCGAGGGTCCCATCCCAGGACGTCGAACCTGCCGTCGCTCAACCGCTTCGTGAAGTCCTCTCCAGCTCTCCAGACTAGCAACGTGCCGCTCGCGCCTGGACCACCAGGATTAACAATGATGGTGCGCTCACTCTTAGAACCCGCCGAACGGCCGATTGGAGAAATAGGCTGCTGTACCGTATCAACACGCGCAAGGCCCGAAACTTGATATTTAGTAACCGCAAGCCGAACAATACGGGGCTCGGTATTATTGGTGTAGTCTAGAGGAACATCGAGGTAACCGCAGAGGTAGATCCCCCGTCCGAAATATGGATCTTCACCTTGGGCGTTATGCTCTGCTACTAACGGAGCGCCGCCCCAGCTCCAGTGCTCGGGTTTTGGTTCGAATAGGCGAGCCCAGCTCCGGACAGGATCCGAATCGTCGAGCGCGGGTAATAGGGTCTCATTGGTGCAGGGAATGAAGTGGAATGGGTCGTCAAGGAGCGGGAACCGTCCGTAGGGAGACTCGGCACCATATTGTATCGTACCACCTACGAGGCCATGGTAATACTGTCGGCGAAGCCCTTCATACGATAGGCTTGGAGGTTGGCCATATAAAGTAGCGAGCCCGAGTAAGCTGATGCATACTACTAATGCTAATGTTTTTAACCACGACGGTTTACGTTGTGTATTTGGATTCGAATTAGCCAGTGATGACGGCGACTTCTCCATTATGGCAGACAGAGAGAAATAGCTAGCTAGCTGGATGACGCGCCTTTCTAGCGTGGATTGCATTTCTGAAGAAGTCTTACTATCTGCTCGTTATTATAAGGCTTACAAAATGGCACCAAGATAGACGGGCGTGGGGGTTGCGTGGGGGGATGCGTACCTGTATTAGGCACTACATGGGTATTCTCCTAATTTCCTCGGCAGTCCAGTACTTCCTCATGTTCTCAGCACCCAGCGTTGTGACCTCTTGATCGAGATGAGTCCATAATACGGTTCCCCAGGTCTCCATCTGCGACTTCAGCGTCGCCATGTCAAGATCCTGCTCGCCGTCGCGACAACTCCTAAGGTATTTTTGCATGCCCTCCATGCCCTTGTGAATCTCTTCGTGCTGGCGCAACAGCTCCGCCGCGTTCTTACCGCCCTTTCCGTCGGTCCGAAACTCGGGCATCCGCCGAGCCAATACGGGGAATATATACGTCTCCTCGATGCTATGGTGCATCTCGAGCTGAGAGACGAACGCCAGCCCGTCGTTTATGATAGACCGCCCACCTCGCGACGACGACTTGCTCTTGCTCTTGGTATTGTTTCCCGCACAAGCCGCGGCCCATAACGCGTTCCACGCGGCGCGGAAATGGGCGTGGAATGCGTCCATGTGCTCGGCTAAACGGTTGTAGGCACGGAATTCAGCTCCCTTGAGGGGCGGAAGTTTCTTTTCTTCCTTCTCTTGCTTCGTCGCCTGGTTTTGCCCTGCTCCCGGCACCGCGGTAGTATCCTTGGGTTCGCTCGAAGATGCTATAGGGTCGCTTTCCGAAGGCTCGTCGGCAGATGCCATATTGGTGGCGATAGAGCTGATAGAGCGGATAGAGTGGATGCGGCGCACGAGGTTACGTTGTAAAGGGAACGCTGAATAGGTCGTGAAGGCGCGATGACCCCGAGTGACGAGCAGTCGAGAGGAGATCCCTGCTAAGAGACTGACAAGAATTTTTGACATAAACCCTAGCAAAAGTAATAAGTGTGTATAATAGTTTGACGGATTCTAACTTCTCTTTTTACTAAAAAACATATTTGATTACATCGTCTCATTGCATTTTACAGGTTACTAAGGTACCTAGGTAGGTACCTATTTTATTATGGTATCGCCAATGTTAATTTGTTAGTGGCGGTGTTGAATAAGTCAGCCATTAGAAAGCATAAAAAAAAAAAAAAAAACAGTTTTCTTTCTTCTTTTTCTTTAGCATTGACGGATAGGTACCTAGGTACCTCTTAAGCCCTTGCCGTTATCGATGTGCATTTCTAAAATACTCCTCAACATTCAGACCAACAATAACAACAAGTAATAATATCAAACTAGGTCAAACACCGTTTACATGAGCTGTGCTTCAATAAATCAAGTCAATTCTCTAGTCATAGCTACGTGACCATCCTACGTGATCCTCCACCAGAGACTTTACTAGACCCATACCACGGCTTTTTTTTTGGTCATCATTAAATGTCAAAACCTAACCGTATGCAGCGGATACAAACGCGAGTCGAAAATAAGGAAATCCCATGCCCGAGCAGTTATCTAAGAACGGACTACACCACTTAGTACACCACCTGTGAACTGCGTGCCTCCCGCTTGTCTTTGACCAGTTCCGCCCGTTCTCGTGCCACCCCGTCCCGTCCGCTGTCCTGCACCCCGGCCGCCTCGTTGGTTTTGTCCGCCTCTCCTGTCGAACGCGTTGGCTGTACCCTGCGTCCGTTGCTCGAGCGTACGCTCGTTGGTCTCGATGAGCTGCGCAGCCTTGTCCGACAGCGTGAGCGCCAGGCTCTGAAGCCGAGACAGCTCTACGCCCTTTCGGAAGATAACTGTTGCTGTAACCTGGTCGAGTGCTGCAGCGAGCTCTTCGTGGCTGATCATCTTGCTAACAATCGCCGCTACCTTGCGGTCCTCGAGCTCGAACATCGAAGAGAGCGTGGAAATGGCAAGAGTGTCGTAATAGGGCGCATAAGTGAAGAGGTATGTCCGTAGGCCCTCTTCTTGGATTTGCTTCGACAACATGGTCTTGATCTCGTCTGTGTTTGGCATCAAGTCCCATATCTTGATGCTGTGGATAAAGTTGGTCGCCTTCTTCCATTCGCCGGCAGCCAGAGCACGGGACGCTTGCATGACGTGGTCGCGAGTGTTCTCGGGAGGCCCGGTGAAGATTTGCCGCTCGTGGTACTCCAGCATGCGTCGGTACGTCTTGCTAATAACTCGCTTCTTGATATCTGGCGACGAGCCTGTTTGGGCGAGGAGCGGGATTTCGAGGAGCATGCTGCAAGTTAGGTAGACACACTCTAGGAGTTCGAGGTTGATGTGCATATGGAATGGTAGCTGCCTCTGCTTTTCTAGCCTCTCCTGCTCAGGGGAGACCTGAGCGTAACGCTGAATCATGACGCCTTGGGCTAGCAATTCCTTCTGTCGACCGCTACCGCAGATCTCCTGCAGCGTATTTTGTGCCTCGTAGACCAGACCTTTACGGAAGGCGCACAGCCCGACTTGCACTAGGGTTCGGTTGTAGAGAATTTGCGTCTGGACGTCGAAACTTCCGATTGTTTCCTGCAAGTGAGACATGAGCATCATGTCTCGAGCCTTGTAGTACTCGTCGTGTAGAGCAAGGAAGTAAATCTGGCATAACATCGCACGTGCTCGAATGATACCCTCGCTGTTGACAAACAAGTAATTGCAGAGGACATTGAGTAGGTTGGTAGCATCCGAAATACTTCCTCTAGGCGTGATAGTAGATTCAACATCTGCAGGCACCGATTTCCAAGCATTCTCTTCAAGGATCTTGACAACCTGCGCAGGCTTGAAGTAGACATGCTCTAACCTACGCATGACGATGCGGTTCAAGCTATCCTGTGGAGTCTGCAAAGAAGTGTCCTTGGCGAGGGTCTCGTAGTATAGAAGGCCACGGAAGATGACGTTGTACAGCGAGCCCTCATCGGTTAGCCGTTCAATATATTCCGACGTGTGAGGGTCAATGCTCTGTAGCGAGCGCGTAAGTTCATCGTCAAGCCGTTCGACATACGACACGATACTTCCAGGGATTTTGATATATTTCTCACCCGGCTGAAGTGTGGGCGGCTTCTCGTCGTCATCCCATTCTTCAGCGTTCTCGATCACGATATACTCCCGGTTTGACTCGAGAACTTGGAAGAGAGTAGAGATCTCCTTTTCGGCTGCTTTCCAGTGCTCCAATGGCATGGATGCTGTACCACCAGAGCCAAGATCAAATCTAGCAGAAACAAGAGTTAAAAGAACCTTGATTTGTTGATATGGGGTGGCAGCAACTTCGAGGAGCTTCTCCATGATCTTGATCTGCTCAACCCGGTCGGTATTTTTCTTACCGCGAGACTCCAGAATTGCGCGTAGGTGCTTGAAGATGCTTTCGGGTGTGAACTGAAGCGTCTTTCCGCCCTTTCCAACAGTGGCAAAGCCTTCTTGGTCCTCCTCAACCTCGTCAGCGTACACATCTGCCTTGGCCTTTTTTGGTTTCGGGGCAGGGGCTTCTTCCTCCTCATCAGAAGCAAGGAAGTCGAGAGGATCCTCTCGGTACGAGTCGACCTGCGTTTGGTAATCTTGCTTAAGCTTCTTGATCTTTTGCTTGACGGCGTTGAGACCACGCGCACTCGTGGCGTTCATCTTCTTGGGAGTGACCTTCTGCTTCGAAATGGTTTCGTTCATCGCATCTTCCAATTCAACCAGAGCCTTGATGTAGAGCTTTGGTGTTCTACCACGCTCTGAGATCTTGGCGGCTTGCCTGTTGAGCTTGTCGAATTCTACATAAACCCCGTTAACAAGTCTGAACTAGATCAGAATTTCAAATTGAGGTAAACTTACCGACAGAAACGGCACCCCAATCATTGATCTTTTGACGCTTCTCGATTGTGTCGATTATAGATTCAAGTTCGGCAAACTGCTTGTCTTTTGCGCTCTTGAGAGTTTTGGGCGCCTCATCGTCACTTTCTTCACTCTCGGAATCATCACCACGTAAGAAACGAGCGGCACCAGATTTTTTACCACCCTCCTCATCGCTGCTGGATTCCTCTTCGGATCCATCCTCCTCCTCCTCATCTTCTTCCTCTTCAGATTCCTCTTCCTGCTCTTCCTCTTCTTCCTCCTCCTCAGAGTAGAGCTCCTCCTCTTCGGAGCTGCTCTCGGACGAGCTATCGTCGCCGCTGCGGAAGAATCGAGACATATTTTCGGGTGTTCTTTGTACTACTTTGGACTAGTTTAGATATGAATTGGTCGTACGGTTTGTTATGATGCGACAAAGGAGGAGTTGCGCCCTTATGCCTGGTAGAAGGCAAGAAGTTGAATGTTGGAGGGGCAAAAGCAAATTAAAAAAAAAAAGGGTGCACACAGTTTTTTTAGAAAATCACAACGAATTTTTGGTGCATGTGGGGTCGAGGGGGTGGGTGAACCGACGCAGCAGGCGCAAATGCAATTTAGCTTATCAGCTTATCAAGTAAACTTTACAATATGGTCCGTGCGCCGTGCTCTTACATAGTAGGTTAGATAGGTAGATTAGGTAAACATGAAGATAATTGCAACATTGAAGTCAACTTTTTTGCTCTCAGGTATTAGATATTCACCACTCAATCCCCATAACCAAGATGCGAAACACAATAGCGCTTTATTATCTTCAAGGCAGGGTTGAATATCAGGTTAGGGACAAGGTAAGTACCTAATAAATTGACCGTAATTTCCTATATCATTAACCAAACGTCGCTGTGTTACCGAAACGCCAAAAAAGAAAAAAATAATTATAAAAAAAAAAAATCATAGCCCAAACCAATGATAATGATTGCCTTCAAAAACACTATCCCCTATTAACCAAGTGGTAAGAGCTCTATTGTGCAAGATCCAACCAGTCAGGATGATCCTTAGCACGCCAAGGTTTGATACCTTTTGGATTGGCATCGCGGCTCTTCTTAGCATGATCGAGAACCATTCTACTCTCCTCGCTGTTATATAGGGTACTGAAATCTTTGATCTGAGCGCTTGCAGCGGCGACTGACTTGACGAAACACTCATAAACTTCCTCAGCTACTACTTATTAGTATCAAGTGTGAAAAGAGACATGTGCGAGAAATGAACATGTGCCGTACCTGTAGAATTATTCGGAATGGCCTCGAGCATGCGCTGGATAGTTGTTCTTAATTCTCGACACTGTTCCCCCGTCATGTGTCAGTAATTATAGAGTCAGTGACTGAATGATATGGACGTATGAGCAGCGTCCATAATCCAACGCCAAAACGGTGCGCAAACAATCAAACTAGTTTATTTTCTTTTTCGCACCTTGATGTGTAGGAGATTTAACTGCTTCATACTTAGTTCCAGCTGCTCTTCGTCTGCCATCTCCTGTTCCTTGACTTGTCCCAAACTACCGGAGGTAGGCTTCTTAAATTGATTTCCGACCGCAGCCATTATTTAATTAATGCCCACTCTCCCACAACTGGGAATTCAATTTGGGATCTTCACAACAGCAGCAAGCCAGATCGAATAAAGTCACCTGAAGGTGATAAGAGAAGGACATTGATCTGATGAAATACGCAAAGATGGACGCTGATAATCAACACTTGCAGTGGGTCGCCAATCCTGGAATGGAATTCCAGCTGCTGCCGGGATCAGCTCAGGTTCAATCTCAGGTTCAATCTCGAACTCAGCCGGAGATTAACCGGCACCACCCTGCCTTTTCCAATTCTACACGTACTAGCGCTAGCGCAGGTTCAATTGGTACTGGTATGGGTCCCCCCCACTTTACTACGCGTAGCTGTGGCTATCCTTCCAAGCCTCTTCGGCCTCTTCAGCCTCTCCAGCCTCAAATATCTCAAGTAAGCAAAGTGCCTTTTCCCCACCCACCAACCAATTCTTTTCTTCCGTCCCGATCCTCGTCCCCAATTCAACTCTTCCCACTGTCCTACCGCAGCATTTTCCGCGTCAACTTCAGCAAACTCACACGGTGACCAGCAGCTGTATCCGACAACCCACCCCACCGAGAAACCCGAGGCACAGCTTAAGCTTGGAGATAGCCTCACCTATTCGCGTTCTTCTATTTCTTCTTCCCTATCTTCCACTCCACCTACCACCCCCAGCTGTTCGCCTCCAACCGCCAACATTTCGTTCCAACAGCCCCCCCACCACCGTGCGGTCGCCCCGGGCGTCGTCGTCAACGGTAACTCGAGCGCCTTGAACACCCCGCGCCCGGGCCCGACGACAACCCCGGTGACCCCGGTGAATATGCCCACCAACGATCCTGCTCCTTCAGGAGCCCTTCGATCGCCCCCCGAAGGCATTTTTCCCAGCTTTGAAGATCTTATCGGTTCTATCCAGCGCGTAGCCAAAGACCAGGGGTTCGGGATCGTAAAGCTCCGCGCGAGCAACTATCGCGACCACAAACCTACGCGATATGATTTGGTGTGTGACCGTGGTGGCGTCAAGTACAACAGCACTGCGAAAAAGAGAAACCCCAGCACAAGGAAGGTTGATTGCCCCTGGAGGGCGAAGGCTGTATGTGAAGTTCAGTTAGGCAACCAATGGCGTTTCCAAGTCCAGTGCGACCAGCATAATCATGAACCCCGAGTTCACAGCAGCAATCCAGGGCAAGAAAACACGCCCACCGCCCAGAGTATACGGAGCCTAACGAATAAGATGGATCGTATGAGCCACGAGATGACCCAGGCTTTCGACCGTATCGAGCAGCGCCTAGACGGTATTGAAAAGAGACTCGATACCATGGAGTCGCGTATGGGTGCGGTGGAAGCACGCATGTCTAGCATGGAAACTCGAGGAACCGGTATGGATGTGCCTATGGATAATATGGAAATGGGAGGACCTATGCTGGATGGGCCTGTTATGTAGCAATACGGCGGCCTCGGCTTATCTTAGCTACCCCACCCTTTAAGGGACTTTGACGAGAACATGTTGCTACTGGCCTTTGCAGTAGTCTTCCGTCAGCCGACAGCCAAATCTCCTACATTCCATCTATGTCAACACAGGTCACAATGAGAAGTGGCTCTCGACACCTTTTCTCCTCCACGACCATAATAAGCCATTTAGACATGGCAGTTCCCTTTTTTCTATTGCGACGGATAGAGGACCAGGCAGAAGCGAAATTTATTACACTGGCGTTTATTGGGCAAGGCTTAATTCTGCGTGTTATCTTTTTTTTTTTTTTTTTTTTTTTTTTCTCACACTACGATTCGACGCGTTCCGGCGGCGCTTTGACTACGACAACGAGGGGGAAAAAGCGGCTCTGGATTCTATCTCATGACTTCTCAGGCGTATGGCTAGTGAGCGATGCTGCTAATCCCTTTTTTAGGGGTGGCTTTAGGTCAGGTAAATACGAAATAAGGCGACTGGGTCCGTCAACTCTTCTCTATTTGGGGATGTTTGGTAATTGGCAGTTTTGTTCGATACCTGCGCCAGATTCGATTGCCTTCAGAGGCTAGGTAATTTTACATCAGGTGGCAAAACCGTGAACCTACCTGGGTATTCACAAAATATGCCGCGTCACGGCGGTTGCTATTCAAATAGCACAAATAGTACTTCTATAACCATATCAAATATGTATATGTTTAGTTGCATAGTTGTGTTCGAAATTACCGAGTGACAATTATCTTCGGGATACGGGTACCTGGGCTCTCAGACTCTCACTACGTCGACATAGTAAAGCAACGTACAATATAACAAGGTGATCGAAATATGCCAATATGTGCCAATATGTGATCAGGGTGCATGTAATAGGTACCTATTCATGTTTTGTTATTTGCTTTTATATTTATATCAATACATCCAGGATATGATGGCTGGATGGCTTTAAATTCCGAAATTCATGGCTTCTTTTCCGATTGGCCAACTTCACGAATTTGATTCCCGAATTGGAAAGACAGTATATTGTCACTTTGTGGTCACACATTTTTACTGTCTCATACTGTCTCACACACAATGCTAAGTGTGGTTTCTTTTTTTCGGGGGGGGGGGGGGGGGGGTTTTGGCAAACAAGTCTTACATAGATCCATGAGTTCTTCACATCCCTTTCGTTCAAACATTATCACTTATATTAGATGTATTAATTACCAGCTTTTACATAGTATCGCAGGAAACCTTTACTGTTAGCCTCTTACCTATTTCATATTACGAAATATGAAAACAGCCCAAAATTAAATGCCGAAAATAGGAAAACCAGGCGCCGCCAACGGCGAATCTGTATCTGGTAGAATATCTACCTTGTAGAATGGGTTCTGCTTACTTATTAAGATATTCTAGAATGATGATCATCGGCTCCTCATCCTTCAAATCGAGCTGTCGAGGTGCACATACATATCCGAGAGCGTACGGCTTAATATAGGTACCTAGGTAATCATTATAGGGCACGCTAGCATACGGAAGGATTGCAATGCTAGTGGCCCGTCACGGTAAGTGGATGCTTTACCGGGTTCGCGGACTCCATACAGTATCGAACGACGGTCGATATTTGCTGGGTAAATACATTGAGGGAAGGGATTAAGCAAACAAATGAAACTGATAAGTTAACTTAACTAAGGGCAAGCTACCTACCCGAGATATGTATTCGTACTATGTACCTACCTATTGTACCTATAGTATAATATAAGAGAGGTCCCCTCGCTTGAAGGCGGGGAAGTCTTAGGAAGTTATATTTACTTATCTCTAAGCTATATTATATTCAAGTTAGGCCTAAGAGGTAATTAGTAAAATAACCAGTTGTAGACACAGTCTGGTCGGTTAGGGTTTTGCCTCTTACCCCGGGCAATCCGAGACCGTGTGGTATGTACAATGAGCTCAGTGCTGAAGTGCGAAGCGAATTTATGATTCCCATTCTGCTGGTTTGGGTCCCTGGTCCATATCTTATCACATACTTGTGGGCGTTCATTTCTCGGTTTGAGGAGTTGGTCTTCGACTGGGGATAGCATGGGCAAAAGTGAGGGATCATTATTTAGACCCTTGAAGGCCCGCTAAAGGGGAGGAAGCATTACCCTAGCCCTCCCGAGGTATGTTTTCCATGCATAGTAATCCTAGCCTTTTAACGTATGGGTCAATGCGTAAAGAATTTTCCGCTGCGTGATGTTTGTGCGACAATGCTGCCTCGTGGGCCCCCAACCCCGTCACCGCCGTTCGTGTGAAATGTGTGTGATTATGTATGTTGTAACAAAATAGATAGGCAACGAATAGAACATCTCTTGCCGAGACAGTTGGCAATTCCTAATGCTATAGAAGCTTCAGGGATTTCTCGGTAAGGAAGTCAGGTCGGATGTAGAGCTACATGCTCTCGAAGACGCTCGACAAAACCCACTGACGTCTTTGCTAGGGTCTTGCTTCAGAAGGTTGGTTCATCATATAAGGTCCCCTGCGCTTTGCCTGAAGTACCGGACACCCAGTTAAAATACTATGTACAGACAACCCATACCGCTGGTTCTATAGGCTGTTGTAACAGGATTAGTAGGCGAAAATGGCTGCAGTTTGCCAGACTTAAGTAAACCTAGAAACACAACTTTTGGGCCCTTACTTTTGTTTTGCTTTCTCATAATTGATGAATTGTCCCGCTCTATACCTACTCCGTTCTAGAGGAAGTAATTCGTTTCTTCCGTCCACCTGAATGCCTCTAGGACGCTATTAGTATGAGCTTCATCTTCCCCCTCGAGACGGCAGATCAAAAGGCCGTCGTAGCATGCGGCGTTATATTTAGTTTCCTAGCAGTGCTATCCGTCATCTTGCGCGTATTGGCGAGACATAGGGCGAATAGAACGCTTGACTGGAGTGACTATTTTGTCATTGCAGCATGTGTATGTTGCCAAAAGTCTATACTCACTTCTGATCATTACTAATGTTATGCCTTAGTTCTTCGCTGTCGTCTATCAAGGCGTCTCTATCTCCTGTTCGTATCAGCTTCCAAGTAAGAAGATATCAAGGGAAAAGAAAACTAACCTTTTATACTTAATAGCCGTTCTAGTAGGTGGAGTAGGTTTCCACGTCGATGAGATAAAAAATAGGTTCGGTATCGAGTCTGGGGAGGAGATGTTCCTGAAGGTATGGTTTCTTGTACCACAACGACTTCCAGTCAATCGGGTTTACTAACGCTTGCGGCGGAGCGTAGCATACCATTGCCAACCAGCTACTATGGGCCATTAGCCTTTGTCTCTGCAGGGTATCAATCCTCGTACTATCTACCAAGATCTTTTTGGTGCAGAGTTTTATCGTAACTGCCAGAATCACTTATGTTGTTGTCCTCGGATGGTATGTGCCCGCCGTGTTACCGCTGCCATTTTTTTTTTATCTTTTCGAATTATAGTTGCTAATTGCGTCTTATGAAGGGGTTTGACCGCCATCCTCACCGCTTTTCTTCTATGTAGGCCCTTCGCCTACAACTGGGATAGATCAATCGAGGGAGGAGTTTGTGGAGATCCTACGGTATCATGGGCCGTAACGGGTGTGCTAAACATGATTTCTGACATAATAATACTCATTATGCCGATGCCTTACCTGTTGAGATTAGAGCTGGCATGGGAAAAGCGGCTTCAGCTAATGGTAATCTTCGGTATACTAGTATTGTAAGTATCAACATCAAACTCTCGTTTCGGCCCGCCATCTTTCAACTAATATTTCCTCCAGGCCCTGCATTGTTAGTGTAGCCCGTATCGCCGAGATGATCATGATGGACTTCAACGATATCACATTCAGCTCTCCACACACCATTTTACTCAGCTCGCTTGAGCCTTGCTTAAGTGTAATGGCATCATGTGCAATGACTATGCGTCCCCTTTTCGGCGGTCGATATTCGCCTGACGGAACGGCAGGTTTTACCGGTCCCCCTATAGCACCTCTAACAAAGAGAAATAGCAACCGTCGATTCCAAACGCTCAACGAAAATACGTCTGAAACACGCCTACGCCCCGAAGAAGTAGGGTATCAGGCATCGATAGCAAAATCTTCGGAGCCATTTATGGGTTTCGGTAGGCTGGGCGAGCTAGGTCTTGAAATGGGAGCAATTTCGATAAGGCAAGAATGGATTGTAAAGGAGGAGCCTCGTCCAAGCAGTTCGGGTACGGGGAAGGACAAGAGTGTAAGATGATACGACCGGTATAACCAAATACCATGATACCCCTTTTTACAAGATACCATTAAATCACGGCGCTTGAATCACTATTGGCTACAACGTCTTCATGTCTTCAGGAAAGCTTGAGAATGTTAGCCATCCAAATTAATGTTTATTGCGAGCAACAACCGCATCTAGACGAATATCCGAACATCGACAGTAAGTCTGAGTATACGTATATAGTTTACGTTGCCATACTCCGCCTCAAATCATAATCGCAGATTTCGACAAGATTTACACTTGTTTTCACATGTTGGCGAAAAGATATTTCATTCCTTCCCATACCTCGATACCAGTTGGGAGGATTTGATTGGCGGGCAACGTGAATCCGTTTCGCCCAGTGTCACGGAGTTCAATAGCCCAACTTGTGTTCATGTTAGTACTCGAACGGAACACAGCTCTCTATCAACGAATAGTTTTACTTACCCGTACTCTGCCTTGTTGACGTCAGTCACGTAATCGTTGCTGCCGCCGGCAGTGGCGTACAACGTAGCGCAGGTCGGGCCGGTAGTAAATTGGGTTCCGTACGGTTTCGCGATAGCGGACGCAGTATTCTTAGCCAACGAGTTTTGCTTGGCCTGGTTGGAAGCCACTGCTGAGCACGAATAACCGTAGGGCCTACAAGACCTATTGTCAGTTCCTCAAGTTGCAATGGGGGGGTAACAAGTACGTGTTCCAAGATAACACGAACCAATTCACAGTGTATACTTACGTCAGAATGTATTGTCCGTAGCTGTGCCAATCAATGTATAGCTTGATGCCATTCTTCTTTGCTAGCTGGTCGCCCAGAGCTATGACGAAATTAGTTGAGCGCCTTCAAGTTACCATAAGTGTCAGAGATCTTACTTCGGATACCAGTGTTTTCCGGTGTGTCGCCAGCTGCAACACCGCGGTACCTGTAGGCAATCTAATCAATATCTCTCAAAAGACACAGCTAGCTGGATAATTTTGCCATCACAGCCTTGGGAGCAAAGTTTATGTTGGACGAGATACTCACGTTTCTGTGTTTTGGTCAGCGAGATGATTCATATGGTCCTTACTGGAACATTAAGACAAGCAAGAGGAATTACAAGGTTGACTGACCTGATCCGGGACTCGTAGAAGAACCCTCACCGTCCCACTTGTAAGGCCAGTTCCTGTTTACATCTGTGCCAACAGCAGAAGTACCGGATCGCGTCTGGCGATTCTTCCGCCACAAACGGTTCGTTGTTTGGGTATAGAGGAAACCTAATCTGAATTAGCTGACATGCCAGAGCATTAAAATAACACTAACTTACCGTCAGGGTTAACGATAGGCAAAATGTAAAAGTCATAATTATCCAGGAAGCTTTTAACTGTTGTGTCATTGTTGTAGTTGGCAACAAGTTGGTATGTAATATACTCGACAACCTGAAGTTGAGTGTTAATAACAACTATTTGGTAGGGATTTATGTAAGGTAGAGTCACCTTTGAGGAAATCCATTCGCGGGCGTGGACATTGCCATTGAAATAGACAGCCGGTTTGGAGTCCTTGCCGCCACTTCCCCATAGGTGAATGCCCTGAATAGCGCGTCCCTCGAATGACTTTCCGGCAGTAATAAGCTCCGAGTTGGAGGAGAAAGACGACTGGATATCTTTCAAAAACGTCAAGTGGTCATTGTAAGCATGGTATGCATTGAACCACGAGAGGCTGGGAAGAGCAGCGACACTTAGATCTATTAAATACCATTCAGATTCTGCCCGCGTAGAATCAGTTGATCAATACGACTTACCACTATCCGGGTAATCCGCAAGCTCTCCTTCGAGAGCTATATCAACCCCTAGATCGTCAGTCAATACCTCAGAGGTATAATTCAACCCCTCAAATGCCGAAAGGTTCTCAGGAGGCACTGCAATATCGAAATGCTCCTCTTCCACATGGCCGTGGTTGTGGGTGAGATCGATGGCCTCGAGAGATGCCAATTGAGCTTCGAAATCCGTAACACTTTCTCCTGGTGTCACACGGAAGATCTTGTAGCCATCATATACAACTCTACCCCTTCTATCTAGTCGTAAGGCCACAGCCAACGACGCGACCGACAAAAGGAGATGGAGGGACTTCATGGTGAACAATTACGGGTCAAGGGGCACAACTTTAGATGAAAGACTAGAGGGCTGGATTCAACAATCCCTAAGACTTTATATCCTAAGCTTCAGCGTCAGTAGATTATTGCAAGGATACTGCAATATCTGGAGTGGTAGCGTTGCGCCAGATGAGCTCTGTATCCTCCCGATCTGGCAGGTCGTGCTTCGCTTCGCATGGGCGACACAGATCTAGAACGATAAGCTTCAGTTTAGCTCGTATGAGCAGCAATTCATTACAGAAGGTCCCAAGAGCGTGATGCGCAAAAAAAACTCTCGAAAAAAAAAAAAAGGATGAATACCCCGACAGGGAGTTTCCCTCGAGTTACGTCCAGTCAATTTAGCCTACCGAAGTATATAACAGAATTATATAACACAGGAGAGCTAAATGGGCTTCACACCATTGGTCAGAAGTCTATTTACCATGCTTCATGCCAAGCCGTATATATGACCTCGCTCTAGCTAATCGTTACATGCGTAGATGCATGATAGACCCGAACTTCCTCATCTGAGATCTCGTAGCGCTTCCATTCCCCGCATGGAGGTGGGATTGCTACCACGACTATCCCTGTTTGGTACAAAGATCCGCCTTGTTCAAAATGTCTACCTACCTAGGTTAGGTAATTTTTCTATAGCAGAGATAGCACATCTTAAACGTTAGTAAAGAGAGAAATCTCACTATCATATGATATGTACCTACCTAGGTAATAAGAGAACCACATCACGTAATTATGCTATAGCCAACCCGCCTGCCTAATTCAGGGGTTAACGCCGTAGTCTATCTGCAATATACGGGCTTCATTATTTAGTCTTTTAGCACGCCATATCACAATACCATGACAAGTGAACTTTACCTAGATAATTACCATAAAGTACATGGCCTTACCATGAGTAGGTACGCATATACCCTAGTCTCAGACCAGACGACTAGATGCTGTACTCTTGGTGTATTGGACTTCTATTCTTGGACTTACATCATAAACCTTATCAGTTAATTCTGAATGGATATGTATCTACTCTTAAAAGTTATCATAGATTCGAGACTCTTTAAGTTACGTTGATTGATGGAGCTATACCCATCAACATTTTATTTAAAGCTGGCACAACGCCAAGAAATGAGGTACCTAAGGCAGATCTACCTGGCGAACAATGCCTAACATTCATATTATGCGACTGGTTAGCTCCAGGACTTTGTTCTGCATAGGCTAACTTATGAGGTGACAAGTTGGTAACCATAGGTAGTGATTGGGGAAGTTGTGATATATTTTCGATTGTCCTGCCATACCATCATAGCACAAGCGAATTCTGTAAGTGGTTCTGATTACGGACGTATTGCGCGAACGTTGATTCACTTGCTTGGGTAGTCATTATCATACTCAATAATTAGGAACGTTGGCAGTATGCTATTATGAGTTTTGAAGTAAGAGCAGAGCGTTATTTCCGCTGTGAAACTAGAAGACACTTACCTTAAGGTATCAACGGAGGAGCGATAGGAAGGGTGTAAAGTACCCCATCAGTGCCAAACCAAACCTGCGCGTCGCATTCATCCAAGACTTAGATATATCTAACATCAAAGAAAAAAAAGTTGAGAGTTGCGTTAGAGATCTGTTTGAAAAAGGTCATATTGTTTCGTAGCATGGTCCTAGTATTAAACCTATTTTCAGCTAAGTAAAAAGTATATATAGGCGCGCATGTATGATTGCGGAATTGAACTCTCCATGAAATAGAAGAATAATCGTTTTAAATTCCGGGGTAAATCATTAGTTACCTACCTCCTATATTTCAAAACAGAGGACAAAACGTATTGAAACTTTCAAGAACCCCAGATGAAAATAAAGCCCGACTACCATGTAAACGATCTTTGATCCTAGTGACGATCATTGCGTCTGTGACGGGCGTCGTTTCATCAAGTCAGCTTAACCCCGAGCGTACCGCATATTGACCCTCTCTGCGACCCTCAATCGACTGGATTGACTGCTTGATTTTTATAAGGGCTACCGATATTCTTGGCTTAGGCTTCGCGGCGCTAAGATAGACGCGCGGGTTCACCAAAAAAGGCTTGCAGGGAGTTCGCCATGAAACTCGACAGGAACTTTTCATTTTAAAATAGGGAGTTCGTTATCGCCTCCTTGACGAGCCCCCTTCTCTATAACGCCGAAAAGTCCGTATGTAATAGTAAGCTCACAATGCAGCGCTTAGTAGGTACTTATACCGCTCTGTGCCTAAGGAGGAGGCCATACGATGTTGTTGCTCTCACCATCTGTCTCGACATCGCCGGTCAGGTCTTGGGCAGTTTCTTGACATTCGCTTCTTTTTTTCCTATTCAATTCTTTACTCATTCCTGCAGCGCAGGTTGTTTTATTTCCATCTTGCTTGAAATCTTTTAGGTATAGTTGCAGGACCTGTTTTTATTCGTTTTGGTTCTTCGGAAAGATTAAGGTATTGCTGGTTAACGACATCATGTATTCTCTTATCATCGCCTTTCTTTACATGCGGTGTGTAACTACGTCGCCTATCGCGTCTCGAGGCTTGTTTCGAAAGATAGTAACTGAACTCAACAAGGAGGCCTTTGAAGAGGCCCAGCAGCTAGACGGCACGGCGACTAGGGCGATCTCGGGGACGAAGATACGAGTAAGACAGCATTCCGATGGTAAATGGCATCTTGTATTGACGGCATGTACTATAGACTTCCGATGGGCGATGCTTATTTGTTGACGAGCTATCGGGAGATTTCCGGGCAAACCTCACTCCGATACAAGTGGCCGAATGTGGCGCAACTGACGGACAGGAATGGGATATTATTACCGCAGGGAAACATAATAACGCTGAAAACTCCATGTTGGTGGTTAGCACGTTGGTACGTGCCTTGAAAATTTTTTTTTTTTTTTTTTTAAAAAAAAACATCCTACTTACCATATCACCAGGATATCTAAGATATTTACTAATCAATCTCCAGACCAATGCTTGTTTTAACTTTGATCCACGACGTGCAGCTGGTGACCAAGTCATCCTCTTTAGTTGTGGTGGGAGGGCGGACGGTGGTGGCGAAGTCACGGATTCCCAACTCTTCCCTTTCGACGGTAGCGATGGGCCTCTGACATTTTCGCCCAAAAATGACCAACAGTCCTGCTTCACCGTCAAGGGCGATGCCGTCGATGTTGCTCCCTGTGTCGCTGGAAGTTCCGACCAGACGTTTACGTTTGATGATGCACCTGCATCCGTTAGCAGTATATCAAGCGGAACGGAAGTCTCACCTACATCGACTAACCCGCAAGTGAGTACCACGTCTACATTTGATTCGACTACAACGACGGCTATTACGACGGTAATTGCGACAACGACTCCAGTCTCGGATGTTACTTCTTCGCAGGTTGTATCGACGAATTCAGGCGCTGGAGGAATCCCGAACCCCACGCAGGCTGTTCCAGTATCTCGTGCCGGTGGCGTGTTACAACCCACCGCCGTCGCGGAGGCCCATCAGCGGGATGATACGGCGACGCGGGCTTTCACCTCGGTCAGCATAAAGGCGCCGAATGGGCAGTGCCTCTTCATCGACCCAACTGCCGGCGACTTTCGCGAGAACCTTATTCCCGTATCGTTGGTAGAGTGCGGCGGGACGCCTAACGAAAAGTTTGACCTTATCACGGCTGGAAAGCACAATAACGCCCAAGACTCAGCCTTGATAGTGAGCAGCTTGGTAAGCTAGACTCGGTCTTGCCATTCATGCTTGTTAATCAGTACTGATATTGGTCTAGACGAACGGTTGTATTAGCTTTGACGGACGACGCCCGGCCGGCGATACGGTAACAATCTTCTCATGTGGGGGGCGAGCTGCTGGAGGTCTGTTTTTTACTCTTCTATTTCGACTCTACAATATTTTCTGATGCTAATACTTACCTAGAGGGCGAAACCAACAATGGCCAGTTGGTGCCGTTCACTGGCGAAACGAGTCTAGTCTTCGCGCCAGAGAGCGAACGAAATGCAACGTGTATCGTGCCGGGTGATGGTAGGCTTGATTCTGCCCCTTGCGCTGGCGATGGCTCTCAAGTCTTTACAATTCTGCTGTAAAGGGGGGTATAGCAACAATATTATCAAGAACCCTTGCACCTTGTACCCTTGCATTGAAAGTTCCTGATTCATCAAAGAAAGCTATATGATCTGATCAATTTGTGATGTGTAAACTCGCGCTACTAAAACTGTTTCCAAGTCCTGCATTTCGCTGGTCTCGATATCTTGAGAGCTATTAACATACCCGTTAATGCTTGCTATATCCATTTCGATACGGATCGGCACATCCATCAACGGCGATGGGTTGTCTCAAACGGACTTTCTTTGACTAGCCATTCCTCCACCGTCAGCAATTCTGGATGATCCTTGCGCCGAGCAGTGACATCTGCCTTATAGCCATCACTTGCGAACCATCCAATCATAAGGCCCATCTCCGTGACCATGTATGTCAATGCGCTCCCGAAGAACCAGTAGCTCACCGGCACGGGGAACCCTGTCGCCTTGGCAAATGAGGCATTAAGCTGTTCCCATGATAGCTCGTCGCCTGCGAGTCCAATAGCCCTCCGATTCCACCGCTCCGGGTCAGCAAACGCCTTGGCGGCGAAGGCGCCAATATCCGACGTGGCGATCCATTGCATACGTTTGTTCCCCAAGTGATTATGGAGCGCAGCCATGAAAACCTTGGTTGGGAAACCGGGTGCTAGATTATCCATGAAAGCTACCGGACGCAGAATTGTCCAACCCATATTTACGCCCGCCTTTCCCGGCCCGGTGACGTCTCGGAGGTGCCGCTCAATATGGTGCTTGCTCTGGAAGTGTGGTATAGGAGTTGGATTATCCCACGACTCTTCATCGCCGCCACGCTCGACACTGCTGTAAACGAAGTGCTTGACGCCGGCTTTAATAGATTCATCAATGAGGGACTTGCCCTGCCTAACTTCGCTCTCAACAGTCACCCCCTTTCCCATGGATATCTGGACCGAATAGACACCCCAGATAGGTTGGGGGTGTATTTTTCGAGCCTCTTGGAATAAGCTGGGCACATCATCAAGATTACCCTGCACGAGCTTGATAGAAGGAGATTTATGGGCGAGATTCTTGGCGCTGATGCTGTCGATGTCGCGTGTGATAGCGAGTATCGTGAATTTACTGGTAACCTGGTTTAGAAGTGCATTTATCACTGCACCCCCCTGCTTTCCTGTGGCACCAGTGATGAGAAGGACTTTGGTCATGTTGGGCTATTGGTTAGATCTGATCGACGATGTGTTAGTAGTGCGGCAGTTATGCGGAGGAGGTCAGCAGCCACGGCGTGGGACTATGTAGATCGTCAAATAGAATCGCGTTCACCATACGTCCGCATATCAGAGTTTAGTCTAGCTAACCCCCCCTTTTCGGTCTACGTATCTAAGCAAAAGATAACAGTAATGATGATGGTGGTGATGATGTCGCATCAAAACTTTCTCGGTGCCCGAAGCTGTCAGTGTCCGCTTCCAAACCTACGCGGAACGTTTCGTGTCATAGAACATGGCACAGTCCCTTCTTTGGGGACTTGCGAAAAGACTGAAGGATTTATTTAGGTCCCTCCCGTCCGAGGTATTGCATGCCATGCCAGGCCAGCCTCGCTTGACGAACAAAGCTGTCAACTATCACCTAGACTTATACTACGTTTAGAGAATACACATTCTCGGTCATCATCATGGACGAGGCGTGGACTCGGCGGCGCAACACCGTGAATACACTTCTAGACGGCTATGGGAGTCTCTCAGTTCCTCAACTACTCCAATCAACGACTCCCGACTTCCACCATCAGGTGCTACCAGAAAGCCTAGGTATGGCATCACGGAATAGAGATGCGTTCGCCCAGCACGCGGCGGGAATCTTCAACGTGTTCGACGAGTTTAAGATGATCCCGAAGTCTATTGTCGACGACGGACCAGCAAACATGACGGTGGTGCACGCACGAATGCAAGGAATACTCAAGGGGGGAGCCGGGGAGTGGATAAACGAGTGCGTTATGATGATCCAGCTATCCCCCGACGGGACTCAGGTTTCCAGGGTCACGGAGTTTGTAGACAGCGCAAAGGCTTTGGAGATGGCCAGGAAACACTCACCCGAAAACTTTGACGTGAACTACTCAAAGCTTAATGGTCCGATGAAGACACAGAAGGGGGCAAGAGACGAAACAACAGGGTCTAAGTCGGTGAAGCTACTATTTGGGCTGGGACTAGGACAGATTGTCACGGTAATAGTTTTGCTGTATCTGGGTCGGGGGGGACATCCTTTGAGTTTCTAAGGGAGGTTTGAGTCAACTTTATTCAGTATAGTTGGTATTAGCTCTTCCGTTCTTGTATTGTTCGCAAAGTCTCGGTACAATCTTTATGCGCGTTTGAGTTCTGTCAAAATATCTAAGTTACCGTCGCCGAAATTCTATCCCCGTCTTACATGTGAGCCTTACATGTGAGTCTTCTTGCTTTGAGGCATAATCAATGGTGGTTGTTTCTGTAGCTATTATGGATTTCTGTGCCTATCATGAATGCGCCTATACAAGTGAGTCGTAATAATGACCATAAAGAGGACGCATAGGGCACTTTCAATTACAATGCTTTAATTAACAGTACAGTACATGTATATTATAGGCACCTCTCAGACCTACATCACTGAGCCAAAAGGAAATTGTTAGCACAATTGATATTACAATCTACTGACCCATGAGTGGTACACTCATAGTACCTCGCATGGTTACATACACAAATATCACACAAGACTACAAGATGGTGGTATGGCATGATAGAATTGTTGTATTGAATGTCCCTCTAACAATATCTAATGGTTTCCCTTCCTCGCCCTCACTATAGCCTCAAAGCTCTAGCAGCTTTTTTTGCCTTCAATAACATGTAGTATAGGGGGAGAGCCCCTAACAATCTGAGTCAGAAGAAAGTATAGGAGAAAGGCCTACTGCGAGTTACGCGTAAGTTGCGCAGCATGTACCAGCACTAGGCATCCGGTCCCATAAGAGGTTCCTAAACGTCACGAAACTGGAGAGCACCCCTCATCTTCTTCTAATACTTTAGTTTGGCCTTAGAAGTTGGAAGAGAGCCAGCGACCCGGCAACAACCGGGGTGATGAGGCGCACGGTGTTGAACTTAATCCATTTCCGAGCGTAGCTCTCGGCCTGCTTAGGGTCAACCTTGCCCTTGTTCTCACGCAGCGCATCGATCTTTTGGTTGATGGGCTGCATGTTGGCCGCGGAATGGACGACCGTGATGAGGTGGCACAACGCCGAGACGGCGTATGGCCGCCAATCACCAAGCCTGCCATTCGGCCCCTGAGACGAGGCTACCCATGACGTATAGGCGTAGCCGAAGATGCCCAAGGTGCTGATGGGCCTGAAGAATTGATTACCCACGACCCAGAATACGGGCCACTGACGACCAAGCAATCGAGCGCGAGCTGGATGCTCAGGCGACGACGGCGGTGGGAAGTCGACCAGCAAGGCGGGAACACCCATGAATGACTGGGTAATAGCATTTCCTATAAAGCCCCAAAAGGTTAGCATTAATCTGCTAATGTGGCCATTGATGACACCAGATTGTCGACTTTTTTTTTCTGTTGGTGGCTATCTTTTACTTACCGAAGAGGATGAAGGAAAATGCGATGGTAGTTCCGAGAACAGCTTCAGGGGATACAGCCATGGTTGATGATTGTGTTAAGGTTGCTAGGTTGGGATCGACTTGATTTGTAGAGGGTGATGATGACGTTTAGTGACGACCTTCAGTCAACCGTCGTCGGATTGACAATAGAATATATATGTCAGATATTTTATGTCGTCCTCCGTGCCGAGAGGATGCTATCTTCAATGTTTATTTTCGGGGCGGGACATTGCAAGTCGGAGCTTGTTGTTTAACATTCGATCCGATCAATCCGCCTAGGTGGCATGACATGATGATGAAACATCTTTCGACGGAGTCAGATTCAAGGATCAGATCTACGGGACAGATATTGGGGAAGCCTTTTAGGGAATCATGTGTCGAAGTGTCTTTGTGTGGCCTCAGCGCCCAGATGCTAATTGACGAAAGGACTATAAAAGGCGTTAAGACCTATTAAAAAAGAAAAGGGGGGGGGAGGGAACAAGGGGAAACCACACGGGGGAAACAACGGAGGCACACGGTGCTTACGGTTACACACACAAGACCTTAGTATTGAATCGGTGCCGAAAAGCTTAAAATCCTATTTACCTAAGAGGTACCTACCTGTAAGTGGTACAAAAGCCCTACAAACCTTAACAAACTTCACAGGTGCATCCAGTCACCGAAGCTTGCGTTGGTCGACACGTCAATTTCTGACGATGTATGGCAGCCACTAAGTACCTATGTACCTAGTATGTACGAATTCCCAATGTAACCTCGTTACCTTCACCTGCTTTGCTTCAGCGAGCCCAAACAAAATATCGGACGTAGAAGTGGCCGTAGCTCCGTCCGTTCGTCCTTTATAGGTAAGACTTTTTCTAAGGACCAACAACACGGAGATTTATAACCGAATTCAGTTGGGTTTTCCAATCCCTATGACCATTTACTATATATCGCCGGTTATAACTTACTCCTAAATACGCATTTCTGCTAAAGCCATGCGAAGGTTTAATAGGTAACACTAATGCACTTATTTTACGTTGACTATTTTTATATTTCGCAGCTCAAGGAATTGTAGTCTCCGACATTGTATGCAAGGCTTCCCCCCCTTTTTTTTTCTTCTAAGGTATGTTTTTGTTTAACAAATATTCATCTTTACGTACGTAAGAATTATTACGAATGTAAAAATTTAAAAATTGATTAACAGAAGTTCTCAAAGAAAAAGTTTCGTAAAATGCTATAGGTACGTTGAATGTTAGGCCATAAAAATATAACTTATAAGTTATAACCTCCTATAACCTCATTTATATTGCAAGTAGGCGGTACCTCAAGTATTTCGGGCTAAATACTGGAATACACTCTGAAATGTTTTAAGTTATAACGACCGTAGGTCCAGCCATCTAAAAATTCCCAACGTCCAGCTTGAACCCTTACTTATCTGGTGCAATCTATACCAATTCATACAACTTCAACGTCGCCGTCAATGTGTCACATAACTTATACAGCTTCTATCTTTCGGTTCTTCTCATCCGCAGCTCTGAGGAACTCTTCCTTTTCTCGTCGGCACTCCGCATCAGATTCGGCCCATAGCCTGATAGCCTCCTCCTTCCGAGCCTCACTCCTAGGTTCGAACGCCATCTGGAAAGAATCCGGCTTGATAATCAGTAAAGAATTCGACTTGTTAGTAGCCACTGGTATATCCTCCTGTGTGACTGGATCCTTCTTTCGTTTAAGGTTGAAACACCAAGCAAGTGCGCCGCAAGCAACAATGAGTTCGTCCTGGGTGAGCGACTGTCCTAGACATTGACGCTGTCCCCAACCAAATGACGACAGGCCCTTAATGGTCGGGTACGCGCTGAGCGGTTCCTGGTAAGTCGGCCATCCCGGTTCTAACCAACGTTCGGGCCGGAAGTTATCAGGATCGGGATACTTTTCAGGGTCTCGAAGGAATGCCCTGCACAGCTTTTAGCATTTTGACACTAGAGGCATTAAAAGGATTTAAAAGGTTTCACAAACCAGTCTAGTGGGAGGATCCTCGTTCCTTTAGCGAGGAAGTAGCCTCGGAATTCATCATCAGCCTCCATCTCGTGTGCGACTCCTGATAGTAGTACGTTAGTCGCTATGCTAAACTTTTGCCTTGTGATGTCGGCTTACCTGTCGGCACGTTTGGCCTCCATCGCATGGTCTCTTTAATACAAGCCCGGAGAATTGGAAGCTTGGGCACATCGTCAAGAGTCGGCATACGCCCTTCGCAAGCCTCGTCAATTTCTTTCTGTACGGTCGCCTGCCACTTTGGGTGGTGTATCATCGACACTAAATAGTACGATAAAGGACCGACTACGGTGAAGATGCCAACAAGAGCCATCATTCCTATGACGGAGGAAGCTTCACGGTCACCAGAGATATTTGAGCGCTTCTCTCCTCTTTCTAGATATTGCCTGGTGAAGCAAGGTCTCTGTCGACCCTGTTCGAGGTTTTTGCGCGTGGTCACTATACGTTCCATCCACCACGCCTGCTGTTCGTCGTGTCGTTTGTGCTCGGCAATCTTCCACGGGTTTATCATTGTGGGCAGATGCCACAAGGGGGTTATAACGTTAGTAATGGGTCCCGCCGGCGACATCTGCGTCAAAAGACCCCATGCGCTCTTGGTGCAGGCTTCGCTAAGATTTATGTCGTCCCAGGCGAGTTGGCACATGATTTTCGATGACATATCTTCCAAGGAATACTCAAAGTCGTCAGGGTTCTCGATCAGCCGAGTGAGCCAGCGCTTAGCCTCATGGTACATGACACCATAGTAATGAGCGTTGGTCGCCTCGGTGAGGTAGGAATGGGTGAATTTACGTTGCCGAGACCAATATTCTAAGCCACATCTTAGCAAAGAGGTTTTTTTGTTCAATGTGTTTAGATTACTCACGGTTCTTTCCCATAAGGGGGAGATACTCCATCGATCCGAATGTACTCTTCGAGTCGAATAAGGACCTTACCATGGGTCTATCCGAGTTGTATTTCGCGCGCTTCACTAAGAGCTCCTCGGCTATCCTCTCCTTCGTGACGACCAAAAACTTTGCCCCGAGCATCTCCGTGAAGTAGAAGCCATCCGTGCCGGCATACTGGTCGGCCCATTCCTTAAACTTCAACCACATAAACTGGATCGGGAGATCATGAATGCGACCAATGTACGGTAGCAATGTAGGTCCGGGTATCTTGCGCGGATGATTGATCTCTCGGAACAACCTAACCAAGTGGAATACCACCGCGCCGACGAGGGCGAGGCAGAGCGCTGTCGGCGTAAACAGTTGCATGATCAACCGCTCTATAGAAACAAGGTGTCGGTCGTATGTGCGAGTATAGCAGAAATGTAAACTGAGAAAGGACTGCGGGAACGGACTGACAAGAACGCTTTCCGGACCAGACGTATCGGTAGGGCTTTCACAAGATTTAAACTATGTAGTATAGCGCTAATCGGCCTAAGGATAAATCTACTTGTAGTATCTACCTTCGATGGGGTGGGATGGCAAAGAACCGTCGGGCGTCGAAGGACGATGCTGTGATGTATCAACTCTTAACCGGGTGTCCCCTTCTCAGGCTTACATCAAAGTATGACCGGGCATTAGCTACCATCGTATCTAGTTATGCATATGGAATTATGCTTTTTAAAGTTTACATTTTTCTGGAAATAAGGTACTTCCAAGAATAGCTTCGAGGGCTTGAGGTCCGAAACATTCCATACAAGATAGCCAAGGATCTTCAAGGGCTCATTGCCCGATTTCGTCGTGGCAACAATGAGATCGCAGGGAGAAAATCAATAGGCCGGGAAGCCACTTGCATATGTCGTAGAATATCACTCAAAATAGTCAAGTCCGGTCAAAAAAAGTCCGGACAGCAGGTAGGCATCCGTTGATAGGTGGTAAGAGAAGATTGGCACATGGTACCGCGTGACGGGATTAAGTCATGATGGTGATAGTTACGATTATGGTACTTTTCTAGGTATATGCAGTTTTATATATCATTACGAGATGGCAATAGAAGCATATCAGGGGCTATGAGGCTGAGTATTTCTTAATATATACCTAAATATTGAAACCATATAGAGACAGAGGCGCTGGTGTTTACCCACTAGTTTATGCGCAAGTGAAAACATTTACTGTGTTTATTATGTTTGAGCTATGCTGCCGGGATTTGAATAGCAATCGCATTGTACCATACGATACATCGGCGTGGGCTATGTATGTACGGCTCGCGTACACATAGCTAAATCATCGAGTCTGCATACCTTCCCGCATAAGGCATATGGCATACATCGCAGGTGGGCATTCTTACATGCGTAGGCACATAAGTGTGCATGAAGTCACCAATCTATCATATGTAAATGGTCCATAGGGTTGATGGAGGGTAGATAGAGGGTAGGCGGGTGACTGTTAGAGATGAGTAGGTAGCCCAATCAAGACTTTGTAACATAACTTAAAAGAGGTTGTTGATACGACTTAGCCCGTTCAAAGAAGAAGGAAAAAAAAAAAAGAAAAAGACGTTTTATGTTCCATCGCGGTGGGCGTACGTCGTGAAACCAGCCCGTCGGCGGCTCGCCACTATTCAATTCCACATAAGGTCCGTCTATCCTAAGTCTAATATGTGTGCACAGATCTCCCTTAACCCGATGATCGAAATGAAACTAACTTGGCGGTCTAAAAAAAAAACTATCTTCAGCCGCATGCGTCGGTATTGATTTTTCGATAGTCGTCCAATATATCCGTAAATGGTATCATGTTTACTTTTATAACTGTTACGAGTAGGTTGTTTTCTTAGGCTCAGTGCCGACAAGGATTTTAAACGCGTATACCGACGCGTAGGATATTAAGCATGTATGCTGTAAGTATGATTGTACTGACATATGCTGAAGTGAAAATGAGCCAATGGCGTGTCCCAGCACATTGCGTTTGGGTGGTCAGGAATACGCTTCGGGTCCGAGCAGGAATAAGAGGTCGGCACAAAGTAGGGCACATCAACCGCCGCGACGACTGCAGACTTTAAGTTAATGGCCGAGTGGCGTCAGAAGCGAAAGAAGAAAAGTATGCTGATGGCTTCATGGTAACACCCGTCGTTCCGTAGTGTACGACTACCTTTCTCGATATTTTTTATATAATATATATATATTATATTCTCGATAGCGTAGCATCGTCGCTGGAAAGGAAAAAGTGGCCAAGAAGCAGTTGGCTCCGAGGGCACAGTTGTTGTCCACTTCATTCGACCATACACTCTTCTCTTTCCGAGCATCCAAGCACCCAAGCATCAAGCATCAGCGGGTATATAAGTTTAAGAGCTTAAGATTTCTCACGAGTTCAAGAGCCTCAAGCCAAGCATTTCACACAAAAATGGGTTCCCTTCATAATAGCGACTGTAGACCGGTAGGATCTTATCCGCCGTCGGGTATCGATGTTTTAATTGTTGGAACCGGGCTAGCGGGACTCACGGCGTCCATTGAATGCACGCGCAAGGGACACAACGTGCGCATTATTGAGCGCCATGATGACATTAATACCGCAGGTATGTGGCTGAAGATAGACACCACCATTACCCCCTCCCCCTGCAATACACTAGGTACACTATGCTGAGACTGTGACTTTGTGTTTTTTTTTCGGCCCGGTCCAGGCGATATGTACTTCATGGGCCACAGCGCTACCAAGTTCTTCCGTCACTGGCCTGAGTTATCGAAAGAGTATGATCTCATCTCTATGAACAATGCGTGGATCGAGACCTTCAAGCATGGCGGCGAACGGATGATAACGCCACTGAAGGTAGCCGACCGCTTGCGGCAGGCTGGTATGGATCCGAACACTCCCCCTGGAGCTTTTCAGATGCGGCCGCTCATCTACCGGATGTACCTGAATGAAGTCCAAAGGCAAGGGATTCAAATCCAATTCGGCCAGCGCGTGGTTGACTACTATGAGGACCAAGAGCGCCAGAAGGCTGGCGTCATAACTGACAAAGGCGACTGGTTCGAAGCCGACGTCGTGATTGCGGCGGACGGTGTAGGTTCCAAGGCCCAACAGCTGGTAGGTGGACAAGTCAGGGCGATGAGCGCAGGTAGAGCCATGTGGCGAGCAGCTTTCCCAACATACCACTTAGATAAGAACCCCAAGCTCAAAGAATTCTTGAAGATGGGTGGACCAAATAACGACGAGCCAATGGTTAGGACATGGCTTGGGTATGTGGCGCTTCTACTATGTGTTATTCCCATACAGGGCGTTGCTTGGCTAATAACTGCGATCCCGCTAGTCCCGGAACGTACGCCATGGTCCTGATTCGTCGGGAGACATGCGTGTGGATTATGAACCACGATGTAGGTGATGCATAGCCAATGCTCAGCTCGGCGCCATGCTGATCAGGTACAGATCACCGGCTCTGAGGAGGAAAGCTGGACTCACACTGTCGAATCAGACGATGTGTTAAACAACATCGATAAAGGGCTAGGCGAAGCCACTTGGGATCCTAGGATTAAAGAGCTTGTCAAGCTGATGCCACCCAAGACCATCGTCAACTTCGAATTATTTTGGCGCAATCCTCGGCCAACTTGGACTTCGCCCGGAGCTCGCGTTGTTGTAATTGGCGATGCTGCACATTCTTTCCTGCCCGCGTCGGGCAACGGCGCTACGCAGGCTATCGAGGATGCCGTCTCCTTGGCCTCTTGCCTCCAGATTGGAGGGAAGCAGAACGTACCAGAGGCCGTAAGCACGCATGTGCGTCTCCGCTTCATCCGGTGTTCCTGCGCGCAGAAGATGGGATTCACCAATGCTGAACTTCTCCAACACACCGACTGGGAGAAAGTCAAGGTCAACCCGAAGCTAGCGCAGCCTAAGCTGCCAAGATGGATTTGGAAGCACGATCCCGAAGAATACGCATACGAAAATTACGAGAAGATGGCCGAAACTATCAGACAGGGAATTCCATTCGATCAGGTCGACACAGTGCCGCCGAACTATCCGCCCGGATATAAGTACGAACCGTGGAACATCGATGACATGCAAAAGGATGTAGACAGCTCTACCGTCTACATGGGATCTGGAGACTGGGATTAATAGAAAGGTAGTAGAAAGGCTCTTGGCGTGATGTTTAACCTAGTTCCTCTTTTTTCCTAGCCGATGGAATGGTCTAGAACGAACTTCTTTGCTTCTTCGTTACATTGTACTTTATATATATGGTCTTGCTTTTTTCTATATTATACCTGAATAGAAACATCAATTCCTCGAGTTGACATCGTTCTACCTTTTGGTAGTGTAGCGGTTTGATGGCGATCTTCCGAACCCTTACACTACCTAGCGACGGGCTCCTGATACATTCAAGGCAGGTATACAGAAGGGAAGCAGGCTAGCATTTCATGAATGATTTACCTTTATCAATCTCACAATTAGTAAAAATGGCAGACCCAGCCTTCTTACTTGCCTTTAGTTGTCTACTTGGTTAATAAGTCGCTATGGTAGCCTGACCCTCCCTTTTTCGCCTTCAACTTCATTTTCATCATCTAATTTTCCCCTCCAGCCAGGGACCCTAGGGGAAGAGAACAAGGAAACAAGGATCGTAGCGCAGAGGATGAACCACGGTGGCAGAAGAAGCCTTCGCCCGAGCTGAGACCGGTGGTAGTTATCTGCTACACATATACTGAATAGAACGCAGTTCCAGATTCAAGCTCGCCATGCCACAACTCCAACTCTCAAAGCCCAGCCACATAAAACCATACGGGTGGTATTTGGTAGGGGAGGCTGTTTTGTGCAAGGAATACGGACTTAAGCGTCTGGTCACGGCGTGTTCAATACAGTTATAGATGAGGGCCGTAGTTGTGAGAGTGAAAGCTGGGACAGAAAGGACAACAGGAGCTCAGTGCTTCCAAGAGTTCTTTTCTCATTACATGCATGTTAGCCCAGATGTTTACCTATATGTACCTAGGTAGGTACCGGCGTGCTACGAAAGGGGGGGATAGCTGGCCGCGATCTCGACGAGCAGTAAGTCAACCAAATTGCGGCACAAGTATGCTAGATACCTGTATTTAGTTACTTGCTGCCCCTATCTAACACAGCCACCAATTTTCATATTGGCTCTCCAGCGCCAGTAGGTCTCAAACAACCAAATAAGAACGACGGGCTCCTGCATTTTACAGTGAGCTGGAACTGCAGCGTAGGATTTAGGCAGCAACATTTCAGCAAGAAAGTTGGCAAGTAATGATTTGATTTGCTATTTACGGGGACTCGTAATTACAAGGGTCCTAGAAGTGTCTTCGCTTAGTTGCAGTAGGTATACAAAGCCTTTTCTCTACGCGTTCTCTACTCCCGGTGCAGCAGCGGCAAGCAGCTTTCCAAAATCAGGGGTACCCAATCCTGTAACAGGATCCCATCCGGCGGTAGCATTCCATCTCGCGCCGCTCCTGAATGCAGAGTTACCCGAACAGCCAACTCCGGAGCCAGATGTAATATCTATCAAAGCGGCACTGTTGTTGTACAGCCACGGGTTGAGGAAACCTAGCGGCGGCTGACCTTGGCTCTTTCGAGCAGCGTTTAGGAGAGCTACTACGCCAGCGAAGACGGGGCTCGAAGCGCTCGTGCCTGATAGGAGTGCGGTCCTGCCCTTGTCGACGACCACAAATCGGCTGCCCTGAGCTGCAACGTCGGGAAACCCTCTGTTAGATGAGTTGAAGTACGCAGAATAGGTTGAGCCTATTGAATCTATGTAGGCATCGACAGCGTCTGCCTGCCATTCCGGCCGGGGGTGGAGCGTACTGAAACCGCCGCTGGAAAAGCTTACGCCCTGCTCAGGCCCGACGTTGTAAGTAGCGCCGACGGCTGTAACGTACGGACATGCTCCGGGGAATGTGGGCTGGAAGTAGGGTGCTTGGTCGGATTCTCTGATGCACGCGTCGCCTGGTCCAGAGTCACCGGATGAAAACAGCACGCTCACACCACGGGCACCGAGTTGCATAAAGAGATTGCATACCCTTAGTGCATACTCTGCCGGTACCGACTGCTCTTCCTCGCCGTACGAGGTAGAAAGCGTCTGAGGCAGAGCAGAGTCGTCCTGGTCGAGAAGGTAAGTCAGAAACTCCAAGTAGGGCTCGTTTGACGAGGGCCCGGGCTGGTCGTGGGTAGGCACAAGCGGTCTTTTGATAAGCTGTCAGCTACCTAGGTTCCAAGCTAGGTATTAGAAAGGATTAAAAACTCACCCGCGACCGCCAGTGCTATATTCAAGGATAGGAATAGGGTAGCTGGCGGCTAATATGTATTGCACATCAAGGTTTGCCTCCCCTACGTAAAAGGTTAGTTTTGGCCACTGTCAAATCGTCCGGTAGTTCCCGACACGGATCAAAACATACCACTATCGTCATTGCTGTTCTGTCCATTTTTGCCTCCGTTGACCAACTCGACGCTGAAATTCTGGCCCTTGGCTGCCGGTAAATACTGTGTCTCAAAGGACTGGAGATCCGAATAACGGGCGTATTCCTCCAAGTAAGAGCTGAAAGCAACTAGATTTCCTTCGGTCGGTGGGGTGTAATTGATATTGTACAACGACCTGATACAGGCGGGTGTAACTCTCGAAGGGTTACAGTCGGCGGCATCGGCTGCCACGGCTGCCTTCACGTCATCTTCCTCCTCAGGCTCGAGGGGCAGCATCTCAAAAATGGTTGACCTCTTCGCGCCGAGCTGGCCGAATCGAGTGGTTGGCTGGATGAGATCAATGTTCTCCACAAGCTCGTCAGGAATGCTGTACGACAGTGTCCGCAGCTTGGGACTGCCGCCCTTCTCGTATTGGTACCAGGCGAAGTTCGCGTCAAGAAGGTCGTTCGCAGTCTTCACGTCCGTCATGAAGGTGATCCAATCGTTGTTCACCGTGGACTTGACGCCGCTGCTGGCCAACCAACCGGAAACGGAAGAGACAGCACTCGCCTTCGGCGCTGTGTAAGCCCGAACTTCGTTGCGCGACAAGTGCTTGCCGTACTTGGGATTTCCCGGCGTAGAAATCTCGAGGACGGCCCGTTCTAGCGCGGCCGCATGCTGCTGCTTGAGACCAACGCGCAAGGTGACAGGCTCATCAGGAGAGGCCTGACGAACTTCTGTCCAGCCCTTAGGGACAGCGGCGACACTGTCCATCACCTTGGCCGTCGCGGCCGAGGCGAAGAGGACGAAAAGGGAGCGCATGATGGTGGCTTTTCCCTTTCGCGGGGCTTTACACACGGGGGGGGAGTCCTTTTTTGCTTCTTGTTGCCTGTTTATTTTTCTTCCCTCCCTCGCCAAGAAAACTGAAGGCGAAGAACAAACGAGATGGATGTCCTGGATCACTCCGTGAGAGGAGAGGGGAGTTTCGAGCAAATTAATATATAAACATCAAGGTAGTAGTAAGTAAATAAATCTTTACATATTGCAATTGCGTGCTACGCTATGATGCTACGGTGACATGGGTTAAGACGTCAAGGTACCTCCCACTGTCTCTCACTGTTTACCACTGGGTTCGCAATTTTGAGGTCCCGGCCACTTAAGTTGTATCGACTTGCCGAGTCCGGGGTGATCTCCCGCCCATCCTCCGCGAATACCACTCCGCCTAGGCCGGATCCGGCAGGAGGGTGGTATCTCAGTTATGCGCCTGTCTGTGATAGCCTGATAAGGGTCTCATGGAATGAGAGATCGGATCTCGTCCAAGGTGTAGGGTAGTACATATCAGAGCAATACCCCTTCGGAATGTATGCAGTTTTGAGAGGGCGGGTAGAGTCTAGGTACCAGAAAAAAAACAAAAAAAAACATGTTGAGCCTGTGGTGCTACCGGCCGACCTAGACCCTATAATATACAAGGAATGCTTGCTCCGCTTCGTATTCATTACTAGGCTTAAGGAGATAAGTCCCAGTACTGAGTGGAGAAGGAGATGGTATAAGAGTTACACTTTTACATAACAGCTTCTTATTTTCACCTTGTTATCATGCTATTCATCCTGGTGGCCCTTCTGGCACTTATAGATTCCACTCTGAATACGCGATACGTGGAGTACTAGGTTAGGGTATGCATAGTTACATCTATCTATGTGCTTTATACCTAGGTACCCAGGCAGGTACCTAGCTAAGGTAGGTAGATATGCTATTACCATAAAGGCTTCCCTATATTAAGCACTTGTTTAGGTGAATATAGAGTGGTTACCTTGTCACTGTTGCTTAACAGGTTTCCTTGCTCTACCATAACGAGGGATACTTTGATAACTACCAATTCTTCGACTCTACGAGTCAATCTCTCTACGATATGACATTATATATGTCGGGTATGATGAGAGCCTTCTTCTTCAAATCTTTTTGGGGGGGTCCTTTTGACTTCTTTTAAACCACATCGTTGTTTGCGCAGTGTACGCAGTATTCATTGGATACTAACCTCGGTACCTACCTAAAGGTATCTAACTTGTTAAAGTATCAAAGACAACATGGATGTATTATTCTGTGGAATTTACAAAATCTTCCCGTTCTCATCCATCTTCCCAATGACACCCTCGAAAAGCTTCGGCAATATTTCAGAAGCGTCTCCTTGGAAGAAGAAATCTTCATCCTCTAGACCCTCCCCCGATTCAGGGTCAGGATTCACCACTACAATAATGGCCCCCTGATTTATAGCCTGTTGCGTATAGTCTGCCGCGGGAAAGACCACGGCTGCTGTGCCGATCACAAGCACGATATCGATAGGTCCAGCATAGATCCAGTTATCAACATCCTTCAGCATCTTCTTATCGAGAGGCTCACCGAACCAAACAACGCCAGGCCGCAGCAGACCAGTCTGGCACTTCGGGCAATGCGGGAGATCCTCGACGTTGACTGATGGCGCGGGAATGGAAGGATCGAGTAAGGGAATGGTCTGGTTGGGCGGGTAGTCTTCAGCGGCGGGAGCGAGAGCCGGGCACACGGGGTCGCTTAGGTTGTCCCGGTCGATATAATCGCAATTCTTGTTAAAGCATTTGTTATCGAGGATGCTCCCATGGAGAAGTCGAAGCTTAGATTCGGGATGTCCAGCACGTGGCGACAGACCTGAGACGATAAGAGTACATTGTCAGAGGTTTTCGGTGGTGTGGGGTTTCACGTCAACTAGGAACGGGGCATTACCATCGACGTTCTGTGTCAAGCACAGAAAGTCATCCTTCCTCTTTGCCAGTTCGGCAAGGGCATAATGACCACGATTGGGATTCGCCTTCAGCGCCATATGCTTGCGCCATGCGTAGAAGAGCCAAACAAGTGCGGGATCGCTCTTGAAGGCCGTCGGAGTTGCGAGGGATGTAGGCTCATGATTGCGCCAGAGGCCACCGGCACCACGAAATGTTGGAAGTCCCGAGGCTGCGGATAGGCCGGCACCGCAGAGAGCCAAGACCCTGTTACTGGTCCTTAGGAGCTCCTTGAACTCTTGGATAGATTTTCGCGGAGGCATACTTCGGCGCGTCCTTTGGGTGATGAAGTTAGAGGCTAGAACTAATTATTGTGAGGAGATGAGAGACTATGTGATCTGATTTAGAAAGTTGGTCGAGTAAATAGTCGAGAGCCTTAGTGCGGTACATGCCGTGCAGGCACTGAAAGATCCACTGGGCATTTACATTTTATCTGCCTGCCGCCTGATGGTGCAGTGAAGTTGTTACTCACGAAATTGGACCTCATTTTTGGAGGTTGATATGGTATTGTATTTATTGTACCTCGGTACAAGTTCCCGCATTGGATAGTGGGGTAGAAAGTTTTAGGTAGAAGGTACGAAGTAGGTGCTGGCCCTAGGTAAGAGCTAGGTAAGAGCTATCTTTCATGATGACATTTTCTGTTTTCTATTTTCTGTTTTCTTTTTCTTCGTCCTCCCCCCCCCCCCCCCTCTCTATCTCTTTAAACACAGTATAATTATGTTATAATTAGACACATTAAATATTTCTAAATTGCCTTTTACCCAAATGCTTTGTACCTCTTCCCGACAGCAGTACCATTACCAACCCCAGAATCCGTATAAATCGTTAAGACGTCCGTCGAGTTGTCGTAGTCCACTCCGCATCTCTCAGAAAATCCTTGGAACATGTCAATTCGTTCTTGAAGATACTGTTCAAATCCTACCCTCGAACAAATTGTACCCGGCCCATCGGCACAGTTTGGCAATGGTTGAGGCGCACTATTGACAAGTATTCGATAGTAATCGCCATTGTCGTAGCCGTAGCTACCTGAACAATTTAGCCTCTCGATGGCGGCGTTGCTCAGAAATGGCAATACGTGCGAACTCTTCCACGCGCGTCGGTGGTTGATACGATCTAATGGCATTGTATCATTAATAGCAGCCTCGCTTCCGCCGAACTCCGAGTTGTTAAATAAACCCATGGCGACAAACACCATAGGAGGTAGTTCACGATGAGTAAAGCTAACGTAGATGTCTTGCCCCCCTGCCGACTCTTCTAAAAGTAGGCTTGCCGACGCATTAAGCCAAGGCAATCCTATGACGCCAGAAATCCGATTACCATATCCCACATTGTAATGGTACATGATATCGGCCGTATATTCCCATCCAAGCCAATCATCTGGCGAAAAGAGGTCGAGATCGCAGAATGGGGAGCTGCCACGAATAACGGATTCATACCCGCACAGTTCCATCATGCCATATACGTCGTTCGCCGTAAAATTAAACCCGGGAGCCATCGCGTTTAATCTCTGTATAATAGGCTTGGTGAACTTTTCTAGGTAGACTGCTGATTGATCGCTCCCAAACGAGGGCGAATAAGCCGGACAGCTCTTATACGGCGTGAGGCTATCCGCACCAGCTTCCTTAGACTCGTAAATGCTCACGACGTTGATCCCATCCTCGTTCAGCTCGAGGCTCCTCGCGAACGACTCGGCCGATTCTGCGGTTCGCTCTGCCGAGGATGTCCATACGCGCGACGGCACCCTAAGATAAGGATACCTAAAAGATAGTGTCACACCGAGTTGTGCCGCTTCTAACTTGCCTACACGCGTCAATAGCTCCCGTTCCGCGTCTGTCAGCGGAGCTGTCCACCTAGCAAGGAAGTTAAGCGCTGGAACGTTGCTCCAGTCGATTGCGGTGTTATTTTCCAGTTTCGATACAAATGGTTCAATGTACGCTTCGTAATCGTAGTCATTGGCGTAGATTGCAGCGTGGCGAGACAGATAGGCTGCCCGGGACACCGAACAACCCTGTGGAGGTGACGGCGACGCGGGCGGATCTTGAGGCTCGAAGTATGGGGTTACACCACCAAGATGCTCAAGAGGGTTAAATTTATATGTGGAATAAAGAGAGGCGGCAGAGCATGGTTGAGGTATCGGAAGAATGAGTGTAGTGAACCGGAGTAGTTCTCCAACGAATGACGATGCCATTATGTTATCGTAGAATGTGCGGTGTTAGATGGGAGCCAGCTAAAGCCTCCCAAGAGAGGAGGTGTGCCCTTCATTTTTATCCCTTCCTCGATGGATTTACATGGACAAATGCGACATGACGTGAGTGACGAAGGGGAGTATCCGGGACCAGGACCAGTGGTATAGGTAAATATTATGTTGTCGTCATTGGACAAGGATTAGAAACGCCTAGACAGGGATCGGCCAACTATTAACAGACGGATTCAAAGGACGAAGAAGTTTATTTCTCCACATGTCTAAAATCGTCTTTGTTCCTGATTCTTGACTTGCCATAACTGTCATACCTTAGGTACACTGTACGCTACGTACCGCGTAATAAAACTCCGTCGAAGGTGAATATATCCGGATATAAGGTATCATGTATTATAAATCAAAAAAGAAACAGGATGAGGAATTAGACCAGATGGAATAACTTTCTTTGTGATATCCTCTGTTCGCTTTCATAATGCTGCTGCTCATTATTACTCACATCTATGAAGAAGCTAATGTTATTCATCGTGATACACATTAGCCTAGGTATCTATTCATCCCATCCCTCCCCTTCCCAAATACCGCTAACTACCGTGATACTGATAGTCCCTGAATCCATCCGAATATGAAGCCCGGAATTCTATTAATGTCCTCGGCGCATCGCTGAATCTCCTGCTGTCTCGGAGGTTCGAAGACGTTGCCTACCACGATCATTGTCCGCTTCATGATATTGTCGAATCCGACCAGTATCCACGTACATACTGCGGTGGCCGGGTCTCGTAATCATTATCCCGTCTTCTGTTTCAGTTATAGGCGGTCGTTGGCGTCTTTGGTCCGCGTAAGCACGGCCAGCGCTCTGTGTTCTTCTCCAATCTTGTCTGTGGTTTGGTTCATCTTCGCCCATGGCATGTTTGACCTTTTTTTTGGCCTCTTGTGCCCAAGATTCCTTTTCGCCGTAAAGTATACCTTTAGGCCAAAGCTTGGAAGCTGCTAGAGAGGCTGCCCCAATAGCACCGAGGAAGACTAGAGATGATTTTAATACATCTTCTTTGTTGTCGGAATGTTCTTGTAACCGAGTGCGTTGACTTCCCTGCATTGTGCTTGTGGAAGTACTATCTCGGGAACAGGATGAGGAAGACGTATAACGAGGCATGACGAATCACGATAGTAGTTTCTATATAACCGTCGAAGAAACTCTTTAAGGATAGAAAGTGGAATAGCTCGACAATTGCTTAGAACAGGATGGTAGCAGGCTTGAAGGATATGTAGCGAATATAACCTACCTAGGACTACCTACAACATAAGCAAATATCAAGCAGCTGGGGACGTTCCACATTATGATGTAGGAGGCAAGCTAGTAAGCATTATAATACGCGGATAACGCCCTGGAGTCACAACAGGACACACAATATGTGTATCGTACGATCTTTAAGACAGTATTTGGTGTAGGACCATCCAGTCATCCGAGGGAACAAAAAAAAAGAAGAAAAAAGAGAGGGAGAGAGAGAGAAAGAGAGAGAGAACGATCGCACTCGTCGAAACCGAGTATATACATCTTTGATGTAGGTATATTGTATATACAGAGCGCTGTATGTTGTAATGCGCTATGCTGTGAGTGTGTATTCAAGTGCTGATTAGGTACGGTGGCCGGGTGGAAACCGCTGTAGAATAAAGCAGTACCTTAGGTACCTAGGTACCTAGGATTGATCCAAAAAAAAAAAAAATCTATAAAATTCCAATTCAATTCTTCAGCTATTCTAATTTGTCCCCTCATCAAAAACTATACGGTGGTGAAAAGAGAGGAAGTAGTTCAAACATGACGTTGAGAACCTTGGAAGTTTCCAAGGTTCAAAAGGCTGGGACCCACAGCTACTTGGTACGATACATACATCCAAGGCGACGCGCGATAACCAAGTGCCCCGCAAGGTAATCAGTACCTATTGTGTATCTAATTGTACAAGGTATTGTAGGTACAATACAAGATAACGCAACGCGACTTTACACGCGACCCAATTAACCCGGGTAGGTAGCGTGGAGGTTAAAGTTTAACGATCTTACCTTAGGTTAGGTGTACCTAACCTACCTCTACTTTAGGTATATTTTGTATTTCATACCTTTTACATTACATTGTATATACTTATCGTACTCCAATATCGAGTACAATTTCCCAAACTCGTATATTAATGGTCACCACAATGCTTTCCTTCTGCCGAATTGCCCGATAATGGATTCTTCTTCCCCGGCACCAGACAGGCCATTCGATTCCTCTAAGCCTTTTACCGGGCTCGTTCTTTGCTGCACCAGCATCGAGGCAGATCTACGTGTAAGCAATTCTTAAATCATGTACAACGATTAGATGTTCTGTATTCCCGGTTGAGTCCATCTGACTAATTTGTGCCCTTTCAGTCAGAAATTGCCAAGCGAACTGTTGAGCTAGGAGGAATTCATAAGTACGACCTTACGCCAAACGTAACTCATCTGATCGTAGGCGATTACGATACAGCAAAATACCGCCATGTCGCGAGAGAGCGACCCGATATCAAGCCCATGGCCGCCGGCTGGGTCGATGCTGTACGGGATTTATGGACGGAAGACAAGGACTTCGACTTTACTGCACTGGAGGAGGAGTGGAAGTTGAAAACTTTCGAAACAGGCGGGGGTATACCCAAGAGCGCGATCCCAGAGCAAAGAGAGAGAACAAGACTTATATGCTGCTTAACTGGTTTCGAGGACAGTAAGTTGTCTACCTCGTGAACTCGCTATTTGTGATGCTGACAGGGGAAGATGATACGCGCATTCTCATAGAAAAGACGGTTAGGAAGAATGGTGGCGACTATATAGGAGATCTTTCTCGGCGCGTTACGCACCTTATCGTCTGTAAACCTGAAGGGAAGAAGTACGTCGCTGCTCGGAAGTGGGGGATAAGAACCGTCTCTATCGAGTGGCTAAACGACAGCGTCGAGCGAGGCATGATACTTAACGAGGAGTGCTACGACCCGACACTACCAGCGCATGAACGGGGGAAAGGGGCCTGGATCAGGCGGGAGCTTGAGCGTGGTGCCTCCTTGGGTAAGAGGATGCATGACGACGCGACGGCTCCCCCAGCAGACGAGGGTAGGAGGAAGCTGAGGAAGACTGCGAGTATGAAACTCATAAGCCAAAGAGATAATCTTTGGGGTGACATCCTCGTTGGTCAATCATCGACAGACCTATCTAAGTCAGTTACAGCCATCCCGAATGAGCGTCCTGCCAGCGTGCCACCTATTCTTGCAGCGGACCTGGCAGCTTCTACGGCTGAAGACCGACTACTTGTCAATGTTATCCAACCTCTCGACGGTGGTGTATTCTCTTCGTGTCGCTTCTACATTCACGGTTTCTCTATGAATAAGCAGCAAATTGTACGCCACCATATCTTATCTCATGATGGGCAGGTTTCTGAATCCATCGAGGACGCTGCCTCGTCTCACCATAGCGAACCACCAGATCGGCGTTATGTTATGGTGCCCCAGAACTCGCAACCAGAAACTCACCCGCAAGTCCCAGAAGGGATGCACATCGTTACCGAATTCTATATCGAACGATGTGTCCATAACAAGATGCTTTTCAACCCGCGCGAACAAGTGCTAGGACAGCCGTTCCCGAGATTTCCTATTCGAGGTTTCGGTGATTTGACGATATGTACTTCTGGGTTTAGAAACGAGCAGCTAAATCAAGTGGAAAAAGCCATCACCCAACTTGGCGCCAAATACTCAGAGCGACTAAACGCTCAGTGTTCGATATTAGTTTGCCCTTCTCTTGATGGCGTGAGAAAACAGAAGCTCGATTTTGCCGTGTTTTCCCGAATTCCCGTGGTCGATGCCGACTGGCTTTGGCAATGTATTACTACGGGTTGTCTGGTACCATGGGAGAAATTCCTGTTTCCAGCACTTGCTCAGAAGGCGCCTATGAAACGCGATACATCCGCAGGTGTAGCAAAGGGCAACATACCTGGCTCAAAATCAAACATTAGGTCTAGGAGCGAATCTGAGTCAAATAATCCGACATCAGCTATAAGACATAACATCGACGGCGATATCCCAACGCCACGGGAGGCAATAGATGAGGAGCAGCAAACTGATGAGCCCGAGTTCGAGACAGCGCCTACCAATCAAACAAAGCATGTAGATTCTGAATCTAAACACGTCACGGCACCGCTCTCGGAGACAACCTCAAATGGGCTTAACAAGTCACCATCACCACAAAAGACGCCACCGCAGCCCCGTAAATTAAAACGCTTCCCAACTGGAGGCGAAGTAGGCGACTCTGAGAGCGGAGACGACTCGGATCCTTCCGCTACTCGCTCACGAGATGCAGCAAAAGTTGAGGAGGAAGAAAGGAAGCGGCAGGCTGAACGAGAAAAAGCAGCAGAGCGCGAGGAAATGTCCAAGCGATTAAATTCCCTTATGGCTCGGGATGGAGCGGCCCAAGACTGCGACGGTATAAAACCGCAACCAGCATCGCGACAACAGCGGCGGAGGCGGGAAATACTTGGTCGTGCGGCAAGCAACGTGTCGACAGCGTCAAGCGCGAGTGCGGAGTCGTTAACAAATACGAGTAATTCTAAATCTAATTTCAGAAGAACCGAGTCTTCAGCATCCCGCCTAGATTCGATGCAAGGCACATCTACTACTTTCAGCTTTCTAGACAAGATGATTATGCAGCAGAGCGGGAACAGCGACCAGGGGACAGAGGATGGCGATAGCCAGCCTCGTGGCACCCAGCTAGAGTATGACAACCCCGAAGCTCGACAGCATCGAGCAGCCGTCGTGGGTCGGATGATGGCAGATAGCAAGCAGAGCGATGTTAGTAGCAAGGGGCAGAGCCAGGGACAAGATGTTCAAATTCCCATAAACTTGGATGACAACACGCCAAAGGCTTCAGGGAGAAGGACTACTAGGCGCCGGTGATTTCGTTCATACGCGGGATTGCATAGAGACGGCAAGGAAGAAATCGAATCGAAGATATCCACAGTTATAAAGTCCTCAACAAGGTGTTACTATTATCACATGAAGGTTGGATATAGACTTCATCATGGCATATCGGTGATGGCTAGTTTGCGTTCTAGACCAAGAGCGCATTTTATACAGAATACCATGATGTGTTCCATCTGAAAGTAGCAAATGCAAATGTGAATATGAATATGAATGTGAATCCAGGTAATACCAGCAATACCAGTCGAGAGCAAGATTGGGAATTTGAACCTGGTTTTATACCATTTTTTATCCTAAAATGCAATTGTACAATTCAACTGGGTATCCGTAATCTCCCTTACGATAATAAAATAAGCCTTACCCTTGCTTTCTTAATCCTTCCAACTCCAAACATTATTTGTAGATTTTTACCATCGTATCAATCCTTCCTTAAAGATAGAACGACGGATAAGATATAGGAAACTCGGCATTTTGTGAAATGAATGGAGGGCATGGCATGTAACACTTATTTCATTCAGGTGAAAAGGGCTAAGAAGAAACTAAGCGGCTGGCTCGACCATCAATCCTCTCTACATGTATTCAATCTTCCGTCTCTGTCTTCTCTTTTTTTTTTTCCTTCTTTCTCTCCACTTCCCCGCGTCTTACATTTCTCCTTCTGCCACATACTCCTCGCATCCTTTCTGCTTGTTTCTCTTACAGATCAACTTCAATCTCATTATAATTCTAATAGCCCCCAGCGAACTCTTCATAGTGCCGCTTCACTCAACATGCTTAGCATAGCAGCTGCGGCGCCTCCGAGACCGACGGCACGGATCGTCTCGTCTCGAGCCTTCTTCTTGGAGGTACGGTCTTCCCGGGACCGGTTGTTACTGCTCACATAATGGTCGTCATGGTATTCGCGTTCGCGGTCTTTTCTCGGACCGCTCGACGAATGATACCGGTGGCCGCGACTACTGCGATGCCGGTGCCGGTGGGGGTATTCGGTTCGGCCCTCCTCGCGGTCCCGGTGTGAGTAGTATTCTTTCTCCCGGGTTCGATCTCCCCTGTCTCGGTCGCGATCGCGGTCCGTGTGGCGGTCTCTCTCTCGTTCTCCGTCTGTGTACTTGTCTGAGCGGTATCTCTTCTCACGATCACGATCACGGTCATGGTCTTGTTCCTTATCTCTATTCCTCTCCCTGTCTCTATCTTTACTCCTCTCTTGATCTCTATCTTTACTCCTCTCTTGATCTCTATCCCGCTCTCTGTCCCGTTCTCGCTCCCGCTCCCGCTCGCTGCGCCGATATGAAGGTAAGCTTCGAGGCAGAGAGTTTGAACTTTCCTCTATGATTTGTGGAGTGGGGTCGATTCGAACGTGAGGGTCATCATTCTTATTTTTGAGAATAGGCTTTGGCTTCACCGTGGCGGCGGGACTAGTGCCGGTACCGGTGTCTTTGCCCTTGTCTTTCCCAGGTGTAGATGCTGGCGGTGACACGATGAACGGATAAGTCTTGGTGCCCTTTTCATTGCCGTCGCGACTGTTCCTACGTTCCGCTGCTTTGCTGTCTGCTCCCGCCGTAGAATTGGATTTGTCATCATACTTAAGCGAGGTCGAAGGCATGGTGGAACTGCGCCGATGGGATTGTGAACGAGAGTGGTGATAGTCATCTAGGTATGAGCCAGAGCGTGGGTATGATTGAGAGTAAGACGAGGAATCGTATGATTCTCGGTCTCTTTCGTCAGAGTCTGTTTCATCCGATGTTCTCGAATCGTCGCTCGAATCGTAGAGCGCGCTGACGGTGCTTGCTGTACTTCCTCTTCGTCGCCGACTACGACTATTGACTATGTAAGTCACACCGTCATCATCACTGTCGTCGTTGCTATCAGTGTCATGGCTATTCCTATTTCCTTCTTTCCGGTGCTGCCGCTGCCGCTGCCGTTGCCGCTCTTCTTCTTCAATCACGTCCCAGTTTCGATATTTATCCGGGTGATACCTATCCTCGACTTTTCTCGCTTTCGCACCATCACCAGTGATGACAGGGGTATTACTAGTTCGCCGACCCCTTGCAGCACGTACCTCGGTAGTCCGACGAGCAAAGTAGGCTACTTCATCCCGGCTCAGCTCCCCTAGTACTGCCACAAAATCCGGTCGTGCTTCATAGCGTACACCTGCGCCAGCCAGTACTTCGGGCGAGACCAAGCGTCGTGGGATCCGAGTCCACTTGGCATCTAATGGGATTTCGTGACCTTTGCTGTCAGGCGCTAGCCGTGCAGTCCGCTGCTGTGGAGCGACGAGTGTTTGTTGTTGTTGTTGTGGCTGCTGCCGATTTACCTCGGCCACGGATACGGAGTGCGGACGCCGGATTGGGAGTGAGCTGTCAGCGGCCGACGGGAGAGGATGGGCACGGTGAAGGTGGGTCCCGAACTGGTCGGCTGTGGTTGGTGGTGCGGAAGATGGTAAAGCAGGCTGAGAGACCGAAGGTGGAAGGTAGTGAGATGTGGGAGGACTAGACATCTGATAGCTCGGGCCGGCCGGATTCGGTGGCGGCTGCAGGTGCATATTTTCCGTCGCAAGAGCCATACCGGACTGCTTATCGTAAGCCATAATCTCTCGCGTGGACATAAGCGCCGTTGACCCATCGGTGTTATCACCACCGCCTGAGGGGCGACGGTCATAAGACAGATTTGCAGGATAATCCGGCATGATGGGCTGCGTCGACGTTTGTCGTCCGATGTTGCTATTTTTGATGTTGATGTTGATATCGTCGTCTTCGTCTTCTTCTAAACGTTTCATCCTCATGGACGGAAATAGCTTCTCCTCATCGACGTTGGGCTCCAATTCCTCCGGGCTGAAATCAGCCGGGGTATAGGTTGGGTACGGAGTGATCTGTAGCCCGCCATCAGCTCGAGGGCGGTAATACTCTAACAGTCCCCGCACCGAAGGCGTACTGCCGCCGTTGGCGCTGAGCTGGTTGTCTAACTGGCGGATGTAGGCTCGTATGACGTCCTGATGCATGACGCCTGTTAATCTCGCTATACTGGATTGGAGGATCCGAAAAATAAAGGGGGCTAGCTAACCTGATTTTTACGCAATACCTCCTTTGAGAAACCAGCCTGTTCTAGCTCATCTCTAAACCGCCCCCAAAGCTCCTCTTCGTTACCCTCGCTCAAATTTGAATTCGTCCGTTGGCATATGCGCGATGCGATGATATCTACCTCATCCTTAATAGAGTCCAGATCGGTGCTATTAGTATCGACCATGCGACGGGATTTGGATGAGTTGTGAAGCTGAACTGTATCAAGGAACATGTCAATATTGAGCTTCTGATTTGTGAGTTTGGTGTGAATCAGGTCGATCATGTCGCGCTCGCGGCTCTCTAAATGCGACCAGCCCTTGTCTCCATCTATCTGTGTTCCTCTATTATTGACAGTGTCACCGCTGCCACTGTCGTCGCCTCTTCCATATTTCTTATCGAATATGGTATCGAGCTGCTTAAGCGCAAATTCCGAATCCTCGAGGATGGGCGTTAGCTGCCGCGCGTATACGGCACTGCTGTCGATGTTCAGTAACGACTCCGGGTCGTCGGCTTCGAACTTCAGGTGTTTCAGGGCTGTATGTAGGCTGCGCACCGAATTTGCTATTCCGTCAAGCTCGGGGCTTATTCGCGCTCGCTTGTAAAGTTTTCGGGCCAGTATGTCGACTTGCTCGATGTTGGCGGGCGAGATCCGCATAGTGGTGGTGCTAGCGGACGGCGGTGCATTGCCTATATTGCCGGCTGTCATCGCGAGTAATGGGTATAACGTATATATAAGTGGGAACAGAGTCCACTTGGCCTAAAGGTTGTTCTGTATGAAGGTACTTTTGTGCCGCTTTCTCGTAAGTAAAATTGTGTATATCCTATGGCTTCATACCCGTCCAAGGGCATTCAATGGGACGAGGTAAGAAGATGGATGTTAAGACACGCTCGGGGAATTATTAGTGAAAGACTAGCGAGAAACGTCACAAGTAGAATCGGGATCGTAAGTGGAATTCGCTGGCGATGGTTCGGCTGGCTAGACTCGAGCTAGTATTATACATCAGAAAACAAGGGTCTCGGGGCCAATCCAAGGTCGGCTTAGTTGTAGGTTAGACTACTTGTCAGAACTCAACCTGTCAAAAGCTGACTGGTGTATTTCGAGTTTGCGAGGTCTAGTTCTTCGAAAGTATGTTTGCTGGTGTAACTCTGGGTAAGTTGAGATATCTAGAACCTCTCACACGGGGAGTACAGCATAGAGGCAAGTTTTGCCCGAGCTGTTGTTAGGGCGTATAACGAGGTAATAGCTTATTAATACATTCGTATGATATAATACTTTGAACCTTTGGGGAGAGGGGGTGAATAATAATAGTTTCCCTTAGCTGGGTTGTGTGTTGGAATCGCCTAACTACGGTACATTGCAAAACGACAATCGCATTTTGCAATTCGACTTAAATGCCTCTATTATAGGAGTGTTTACCGGTTACGTTCGATAAACATGAGACTATCTAAATAGAGTAAAACAGCACCCTGCTTCTTACGATATCAACCCCTAGGGTCAGGTACGCTAGGTATTGTACCTGTGTTATTCTAGGTAGTGTAAAGTAGTATTATATTACCCGACGAAGATGTGAAAGATGGCCAAGGTGGTCTGGTTGGGCAGTGACGTATGAGCTGATGAGAATTAACAGACACATGTCATCATAACTCGCAGGTTCCAGGGTCCAACGGCGGCAGGGCTGTCCAATGATGGCTTATTGGTTCGTCGTTATCCCTGTTACTGTGTGGGAGGAATCCCCGGTAACGCGTCCACCCCCTTGCCTCCACATGGGATAACTACCTAAGTACGGTTTAGGTATGTAAAAGACGCTAGGTATCTAAGGTAAACTTTTTTCTTCTCTTCGTCCTATTCTCGAGGAATCCCGAGACATCGTATGAATGGAAACATAATATAATGTAACTATTTTTAGGGAGGCGAGTAATAGTGTATTAGTTACGATGGCTAGATGCTTAGCAAGTAAGCAATAATAGGTATGTATACTCGAGAACTACTCAACTTGCCCTTGGCCTGCGTACCGCTGTGTACCGGTGATTCGCTGCGCCACCTCGCTTGGAAGATTCATCCCTACTACCGTCTACACTATGTACGGGGAGCATGACTGCATGGAATTTTTCTATTCAGCCACTTCTCCATAGATGGTTAATACGTGGGAAATACTGTACGGGGGTCGGTCGCTAGCTTCTGACAAGGAGAAATACGACATACACGATGCAGAAATACGGTGACACGAAAAATGCTACTCGTGAACTGGGTCGCCCGGAAGAATATAAAATTTCTACTTCATTGAGTGCGACGAGACTAAGTCTTTCAGCTGCACTCTTAACGGGCAACGAGCGTCAACCACTAGACATTTAGACTTTTTACATCTGTCGTAAGAAAGTCGGTGACTTAACGCTTAACGCTCCACAGCCTAGGTAGGTAGCCATTCGTATGCAATCGTGAACAGTGAGGTAAACGAGAGGGGGGCAAAAGCAAGTCTCTAGTACGATCTGATGTATGCGGGCTTCCGATTGACTACGTGTATTCGGTTCCTTGGATTTCTACACCTACGGGCTAGAAGCATGATAGCCATATAGGTCTTTAATATGATGTGTCTACATCGCCAGCACGGCTAGATACGTTAGGGTGTGTTGTACGACCTCTTTGGAGTCTACTTTGAACCCTGGCCGAGAACGTTGTACTGGAACGCGGTATAGGCAAACAAACCTAGTCGGTCAGCTTTCTAGAACCTTAACACCCTTGAAATCCTACCGCGAGCCCAAGATTCGATACCGGTTCCACGACAACCAACGGCTGGAGGGTGACCTATCCGAGTACAATATCGTATCATGGAAGTGCGCTTGGTTATGCGGGGCAAGGTTAGGATGCGGCTTATAATTATGTTATAAGCACATACGGGTTTACTGATGAATCGAGTCGTGCCATCGTTACATTCATAGCGTACCTAGGTTGTAAACAATAGGCGAAGAGTATACTAAAGGTAGAAGAGGCAACATTAGGTAGCGATAGTACCGGAAATGATAGTGTTTGGGAACGAGATAGAAGCCGAGCTTGTAAATAAGAATCATTTTTCACGCCTGCTAGAGTACTAACGTGATCCGACTATACATAATGGCCCATATGTACTTAACTTACATATGAGCCTCAGCTAAATCTGATAAACCTCATATGGCAATCCTTTCTAGCGAATAGTGTCCGACCTGTTGACTCCTAAGATGACCAGTCTCTCTCTGAGACCTCTCCACGATCTCACCTCCTGACACAATTTTTTGACTTGGAATTCGATCCTTCGTTTTCAGGCCCAGAGGCAACGCCTGAGTAGTATGGTCTTTAACGTGCAAAAGAATCGGCTTCATCTTGTCTACCACGTCATCGGCCCGAGGCACCTTCGATGCTTCGCAATACTTCACCGCCTCGCCAACAATACTACGGAGGTAGACGACTTCCTCTAGTCCTTCCAAGGCCGCACTAACCTCGAGCTTGAGGGAAGCAATGAAATCCCCGGTCTCGTCGTTCGCTAGTACGGCGTCGTTCAGAAGCCAGCCGCCAGGACCTATCGCGTCTACACAGCGTCCAAGAAGATCTGCGAGTAGCTTAACGATGCCGTCAGGTGGTGCATCAAGGGTGGAATCCTTTTCAAAATCCGTTGTGTCTAGGTAGCGAGATGTCCAAGCCCCCCTAACCAGCTCGACTCGAAGGAGGTAGATGAGAGATAAGATCTCTTCCGGCTTAAAGGTTACTCGCAAAGATTTAATCATTGAAATGCCGGGACAATTACCAAGCTTAGCAAAGGCTGCGCTTAACCCATTGCCGCGAGTGCCCGCATCTTCATTGAGATAGGTCACTGTCTTCTGAATCTCAACCTCAAGATCGTCTAGTTCCATACCAATATTTTGATAGTCGGACTCGTCCTCGCCTTTTCCATTCATTTCTTCCTCGTCGGATGAGCAGTTAGTAAGTAATTTTGGTGGTGGTTTCTTCGGATCTTGGACCAGCTCGAGACTCCTCATGATTGTTCGTACAGCAAGGAGCAGTTCTACCGCCCCAAGATTAGTGGCCGAGATATAAGCGACGAGCAGTTCCAGAGAAGGGTCGACATCAGCTAGTCGGAGCACAATCTGCTCGGCTAGAAATGAATCCGCTTTCTCATCATCTCTAAGTTGCCTGTGGAGCGCAGATCTTACATTCGACAAGGTCAGATGGCCAGCGTCTACAAGATAATTGATGATGTCGCTCTGCGGCAACTGACAAATAAGTCGAGGGATCGTTGGGTCGTCCGGAAAGGCATCGTTCCACTGAAAAGCCCGGCTGATAGCATATAGAATCCATCTCCTATCTGCGGGAGGATACCCTGCCCTCGTCTTCGGCCACACCCAAGAGATTGTATTAGTCTTGGGCGAGACTGGCTCCTCCTCCTTTATCCCATTCGGGGTTTGGATTTCACTCTGGATTTGAATGCCAAATTTCTGAGCTAGTAGCTTCTCGAGGCCACAGATATCATTTGAGTTAAGAAGGGCGTCAGCTTTCGCCTCGTCTGCCTTCCACAACTCCCAGTATTCACCCCTGATAGAGCCCGGTAAATAATTGGAGAATACAGACGTCTCTTTCTCTTCGTAGGTGTCATGAATCAGCGGCCGCTTAGTGAGCTGCACGCCGCGTCCGATTGAATCTATCAAAAGACCCTCAGCGCGACGTTTCCTAGTTCGCATGATTGGGGCTTCTAGTTGGATGGCGACCAAATTAGCATCGACAATGGCAACCGCGAGTTCTAAGCGGGAGAAGTAAGCAGCGAGAAAGCAAGCTTCTAGGCCTGTACCAGCGTCGAGATCAACAGGGACAGAATTTTGGAGAGACCGATAAACCGGGTTATAAATGCTGAGATGGGTAGGCGTGGTGCAAAGCAGCGAGGTTTTGCTAAGGCGTAGAAAAGAGGTAGTTCCATCGAGTTCCATTGTGGACGTGATTCTGGGAAGGCTAGTTGTCAAGTCATACATGTTGAACGTAGAACCGCGCAACTCGAGTAGACTTCCTGACCGAAGATCTAGGCGGTAGGAGGCTGTACTAGTTTCTTCTTTTGCGAAGGATGGAATCGGTATAGTGTGGAGCTGGACAATACCCTGGCGCTGGCTACCGTTCGAGGCTTGGGACTGTGGTAACACGGCCACGATATGGAGATGACGACTTTGCTGTCTGCTTGAGCCGTAGCTTGAGACGAGGATCAGGACCTCGGCATCTGCACCTACGCTTTGCCTGACATCAGGGAAGAGGCTCAATGCACCATCATCGCCCTTGAAAATTCCGTGAATAAGGTCTGACAACGGCGCAGGAGAGCAAAAGTCAATTTGGAAATCCGCTTTCGAAGCTTCCGGGAGATCTTGATATAATGATGCGGGTGATGAATCCCATCTTTTCTGCAATGTCTCAGCGTCAAGATAAGTAAGCTTCCCGTCTCGTCGCACAACAAGGAGCCCATCATTTAGCGTTTGATAGCTAGCCGTCCCTTGTGCAATCGGTGGGATGATGGGAGCAACATATATAACCGGTTGGCCTGGACCAAGAGATGTTGATCTAGTCGTGGAGTGGATATTGCCAGACACGTCCACATGATCCTTGAACTGGATAATCTTATGTTCGTGTGTTTCCTTAGTGGCTGCGAACGTATATCTCGAAGTCTCCTGCGTTCCCTCCACTTTGCGCCGAACAGAAGCTACAGGACACGAGAAGAGGGACTGAGGAGGGACCGGGTATGACGTGACAAGCCTGGCAGAAGAAACCTATAGAGAGTGAATATTTCGAGCGCATAGTACCAGTACGAAGTTCTTACATTATAAATATTAATAGCTTCGCCGTCAATCCCAACCGCAAGCTCGTGGCGCTTCCTTTTCCTTGAGCCGGGTGCGCATCCATAAACCTCACTAACAACGTAGCGACCTGTTGTTGGATCAAAGGGCCGAGGCAACGTAGCCAGCACATATGGTTTCTGAATTTGGAAGTGAGAAGCCATATTTACTTTAGAATGACGCGACTGGAATTAGTAGGTAATGAAGCTGCCACCAATCGTAGCAATCGAATTGTGTTGGTTCTGGACGAGTCCTCCTCGTGAACTTGCTGATATAGGTAGGGAAAAACGACCCAAAGAAAAAAAAAAGTTGGAGAGTCGGACTTGGCTATCGAAAGCACCGACCCGAAGATTAAGCGGCACTTGAATTAGTAGGTACATGTCATACCGTACCTCTTACCTAATATGGATTAGGTATGTATGTACCTATGGCATATGTAAGGTACGTATATTGTGGGGTAGGATTAGCGGGCCAAGAATTCAATTGAGCAGTTCAATGAGTGCAGTCGCGTCAGACGCGACGGCTAGACGCGATCACTTAAATGTTAAGATGCTCAATAATGAAGTAGTCACTACCCGCACCAGTCAACCAAGCACATAACCTACTACCTAACCTTCAAACATACCTAAAGTACATGCCTAATGTATTCCCAAGATTCCCTTATTTTATACTTTTTCCACCACTTTTCTTAGTTCAGGCTTCTCAACTTTCCAGTACATGCAATCTATCACTACGACCCGAGCTCATAATTTAATCCTTCTAGGGAAGCATCTAAATTATACATACATGTTGAAGAATGATCAGATACGGTGCTGTTTATTGAGTTCTATCCTGCGTCTTTAGGTGCGCTAGGGCTCTATCAATAGCACTCTGTTAAAAATACGTTGCTACTATCATTCTCACAGTCATCATGGTCGAAAATGGCGACGTCGTCAACCCTAAAAATAAGAAACTGCATCCCTTCTTCACAGCCCCAAAGAAGTCTTCCAAAGATAATGCGGTCGAAAATATAGCTCCAGTTACACCGGACCCGTCCTGTAGTCCCAACTCCGTTGATAATACTGATTCAACTCCTCTATCGGGTAAAGACAAGCGCAAGCGGAAGCATGGACAAACTGACGATATCCAGGAGACTTCACTATCAGGTATGGATAACCCAATAACAATATACGTTGTTAGACCAGTGCAATGCTTATGAATAGCAGCAATAGATTCTACGTCCAAGCCACCAAAGGTACTGAAACTGAATCTCGCAACTGGAACTATTGGCTCTCCTCCAAAGCACCAATCTACTACTGGAAATAAGAAGAACACGAAACGCGGTCGAAAACAGAAGTCCTTCCTAGCTTCGATATGTTATGGCCAGCGCGAGAATGCCTCCCGAGTGCGAATAGGTCAGAGGATCAACGAGATTCTCTCAAGTCCTCCAAAGACAAAACACGACATTGCTAGAAACGCTCTTCCTAGTACACCTCCCTCGAGCCGAGACGCAAATGAGAAGCCCGCCCACAGCTTATGCGCACATGATGATAGCGTCCAAGCGGACGATATTTCAAAGAATGCATCAGGAGGGAAGATATCTCAGCCTGTCGTATCCAAGACCGATATAACACCTAACAAGCCCACCCATCCATTCTTTCAAGGAAAATCGAAACCTAGCACTACTATAGAAGAAGAAAAGTCTAAGCCCTCGGCAACATCATCGGTCAAGAGACAGGTACTTTTTAGCTCGACTCCCAGCTCATGGAAGCATGCTCGACCAATACCTCCGAAGTTCAACTTTCCAGCTCCCGGCACGAGTTCTGGCAACAATGTCAAGGTGCCCGGTGCACAGCACCCAGCCTGGCCATCAAAAGAGACGGCACACGTACGGGGTGATACAACTCAGCCTTGCAGTCCACACAAAGATACGCTATCTGAACGTCTTCCGGCGAGACGCAAGGCGAAAGGGCAGCAAGTTCAAATCACTGGTTGTGAATCTATTTTGAGCCAGGCCGTGTCGGACTTGAATTTGGATCAGCTGATGGAAGAATTAAAGGTCTGCGATAATGATAGCTTTCACCCCCCTCCTGCGATCTTGCGGATTCCCGAGAGGCGTTTCGAAAGTGGAAAGAGTCTTCAGGCACGTATTTTTGGTGAATTGAAAACCCTCTATCGATGTGGCGACAGGCCGAAAGCGCACCCCGCGATCGCACACGCATACAATTCCATCGAGAAAGGGCTGTCCGCTTTTGATAGGTCGACTTGTGAGACAAGTACTTGGGCGCAGAAGTATGCACCGTCGTCAGCTGAGCGAGTGCTCCAGAACGGCCGGGAAGCTGAGTTGCTACGCGATTGGCTTGAAAACTTAAAAGTGCAGGCCGTGGACACCGGTATCATTGATTCTGGAACAAAGTCTAAGGCCATTGCCCCAATGAAAAGTAAGGGCAAGAGAAAGAAGAAACCGGATGATTTCGTCGTGTTTAGCGACGAGGAAACAGATGAACTTAGTGAGATATCGGACGTTGGAGACTGGCCAACAAGCAGTAGCCATGGTGAAGGGAAGAAGACAATGATGCGTTCTCTTTCTCATCGAAAGACTGGAGACGGCTGTCGCTACGTTAATGCCGTAGTACTCAGTGGTCCCCACGGTTGCGGCAAGACCGCTACTGTTTATGCTATCGCCAAGGAACTTGACTTCGAGGTATTCGAGATAAATGCAGGGGCTAGAAGAAACGGCAAAGACGTCCTGGAGAAGGTCGGTGACATGACACAGAACCACCTTGTCCAGCATCGTCATAAAGATGACACACAACGAGAGGGGGCGGTTCTCGAAGACGAGGTGGACAGGAACCTGAAATCTGGTAAACAAGGCATGGTGACATCTTTCTTCAAGCCGAACCGAGTCCCGGCACACAAGACAAACAAGTCAGCAGGCTCATTGAGCATGAAGGAGGCAAAGAAATCTGCTAAGACACAGAAGCAGTCTCTAATTCTCCTAGAAGAAGTTGATATTCTCTATGAAGAGGATAAACAATTTTGGACCACTGTTATCTCCATGATCTTGCAATCAAAACGTCCTTTTGTTATGACCTGCAATGACGAGACATTAGTTCCCTTACAAAGTCTAAACTTGCATGGCATCTTCCGCTTCTCTACTCCTCCGAAGGACCTAGCTGTCGACTTACTACTTCTCATTGCCGCTAACGAAGGTCATGTCCTTCGGCGGCACGCAGTAGAAACTCTCTTCGATTCACGTGGTCACGATCTCCGCGCTTCAATCACTGAGCTCAATTATTGGTGTCAAATCGGAGTGGGAGACGTGCAAGGAGGGTTCAATTGGTTTTATCCTAGATGGCCCAAGGGCAGTGATGTCGACGAAAGAGGAAATACCATCCGGGTCATCAGTCAGGACACTTACCAAGCCGGTATGGGTTGGCTGAGCAGGGACGCTGTCGTTGATAGTTCATTGCTTCGTTCGACACAGGAGGAGTTACATCAGCAAGCTCTCAACAACTGGTGTTTCGATATGTATGAATCATGTTCATATGACGATTTTGCTACTTGGGCAGTAACGGCAGAGAAGAGACAGTCCTCGACCGAAGAGCGGCTTGAGCGTCTAAAGTTGATTGAATCTTTTACCGGCTTCACAAGTGATTCAGATATAACGTCGTCAAATTCCTCGACTGTCCCTGACCAGGTCTCTATGGATGCATCGGTTCCACATCTTTCCGCGAAGACGAGAGAAGACTTTATTGTTGGTCGACAGTTACTTGAGGTATCTCCCTTAGTCCGGTACAACACGACGCAGCTTGACGTGTCCACAGCCTTGAAGAACCTTAACAAAAGTCATTTAGCAAGTGGACACATCTGCAATTCGTTAGGCGAGGCCCAAGTCACCGCCAAACTAGAAAGTCATCTCAGCGACTCGTTGTGCGCGAAGCCGGCCATTGTGCGCCTGGATTATAGTCACGCATTTGACCCTATCGCTGCTTCAGAGAAGACATTGGCTGCGGGATATCTTGACCCCTCGGTATTCGATGGGACGATGAAGACAATCAGTCTTGATATCGCACCATATGTACGTAGCATCGTGGCATACGACCAGCGGCTTCAACAAGAAAGGATTTCTCGCAGCAGTCTCCTCAGCGAAGGTGGGCAGCCAGGAAGGAAGCGCATGCGCACAACGAGAAGCGCGTACTCGGCCATTGAAGGCGGCACTCGAGCTAGTATAAGACGAGAAAGATACTTCACGGCGGATATCAACCCACATTTAGTGATGCGAACAGGCGGTAGTGGGTGGGATGCAATAGCGCATTTAGCTACTCGCACGCAAGATACTGCGGACTGTAACATGAAGAGTTCTGGAGAACTCAACAACGATGGCAATCCCGACTGACCACGGATTTGGACTACAGCCTGGCTTCATTTATAAATAAATGTATAGAGTACGTAACCATACGTGTTTAGCATCACGCAATGCATTAGAAAGGCGTTTGATCACTGGATGACGTTGTTTTCTAAAGGAGGCTGGCTTGCTGCAAACCAAGGTTGCAGCGATCATGATTCGCATAGATCTAAAAACACATATAGAGATGACAAGCTCTCGCAACAGATTTTATTTTCCCAGTGGTTGAAAAAAAAAAAAAAAAAAAAAAAAAAAAAAAAAAAAAAACAAAATAAAAAAAAAAAAAAAAAACCGGGGAAAAAAAAAAAAAATTATGGGGTTTTTTAAAATTAAAATACCAAATTAAAAACACGGAGAGTAAAATCGGAAAATTAAAAATTGC